AAAATGGATTTTTCAAGTACAGAATGATTAAATGATTTTTATAAATTCAAGCTCTAGAAGATAAGTGGCGATTGGACTATGCTTGTTTTATAGGCTTTAAAAATGCTCAAAAGCAGCTTAAATGCTTGTAGACAAATAACAGGCCTTTATCATATGATATATTTCATTTATAGTCTCTATATATAGCCTAGTTTTCATTTCTAGTCCTTACATTCATAAATTTTTACTATTAGATTTGTGTAAACATATAACTCCTTATATGAATATACCTCTGTCAGGCAAGCTATGGCAGAGGGGAGATTGTCTTGAAATTGAAAGGTAAACAAATAATTTTTTGCCTACACTTTTTGTCTCAGCTTTCTCATGTTATTTTGATCAGAGAAGTCATTTTCACATAACTCCATTTTATTTTTTGAAGACATAAGTGTAAATTTTTGAACTTTTCTTACGTTTTTTTTTAATATCTATACCTGTGAGAATTGTAAATGATGAAAAAAAAGAGTAATAAGAATTTTATGCAGGATGAATATGCTGACTGTTTTATTGAGGAGGTAATGTACTTTTCATCCAAGGAGAAAGCTCAGATTTTACATTAGACAGACAGGCTTAGTGTCTGGAACTTTATTCATATACAGTACAAGAAAATTCAACATGATTCTATTTTTCTCCTTGGCAAATTAGGGAAAATGTTTGCAGATTGTCTAAATAGCAGCATGAGAATATAGTTTGTGAACTGAAACTTCATTTTCACTGGTTAGTTGCCTATTTTTACAGTGATGGCACACAAACAGCACATGAAACTATGTTCAAAAAACCATTTAGGATTACCTGCAGGTAGTATTCCCCAAAGAGTTCTAGCAATAACGTGCTAAATGTTTTATCTGCTAAATCCATATTTCAGTGAAAGAAATTTCATTGTGTTGCATGCTGAACTCATCTAAGGGAAGATAAGGACCAACAAGTTCCTCTGTTCCACATCCTTGCAATGTTAGCTAAGAGAGATTCCTGTTCTACAAATACAAAACTAAAACACAGAGATGAAGACACTGAATTGACTTCTTATAAATGTGCTAAGCATTAAGAATATGAGCCTTTACAAATGCCTTCACATTTATCTGCTTAGGTGTCTGGTGAGTCTGAGGAATTGACACACACATCACGACTGGCTGATTTCAGGGAGTTGTATGAATAAGTGAATTTGCTTACTGGGTGGTTGAAACTCTTGGTCTGGCGTCCAGTTCTGCCTTACTGTGGCTGAAACCCCACAGCTACAGATTTTCTGTCCCATGGAATTAAGGATCCAGCAGCTGGCACCTCTGTTTTGTATATCTTGAAACTGGATTCGTTCAGAAAGCTGAGCACTGCAGGTGTTTAGTTTGCATGTTGGGATTGATTTGACAGCCGAATTACTTTTTGAGAAAGAGAATAGAAAGGTTTCTTGAAAAATAGGCCAAATTGTACAAAATACAAAAATAAGACTTTGCATCAGAAGCGTCTTTAAAATCAGATACCTCATAAACTGTTGGTCACTAAAAGTTCAATTTCTATTGTTTCATTGACAACCATTTTCTAAATAAAACCTAACTTATAGATTAATATTTCAGTTTCTTAGTAGTATATTATATTGCAGTATTGTTATATATTTATTATATTCAAATAATTTCATTTTAAGAAGCTGTTTATAGTTTATATTGAAAGTTATTTTCTTTTAGTTGGATACAGGAAGAACTTAGAATCATTCTGTATCTGATGTACTAGTTATCTTTGGGGTATTTATCTGCAGGAAATGAAATCTAAAAGACTAAGTAAATGTTTAATTTCTTGTACCTCATCTTAAATATATTTGGTTTACTTTTGTAAATATTTTCTTCCATTTTTTTAGAGGGGCACATCATGCTTTTATATGTCTAAAATTGCTAACTGAAATACAAAACTTTTAAACTTCCTTTTAAAAAGACCTTCTTTTTACTAGAAGACAGCTATGAGAAATAAGGAATTGAATGATTGATGAAGAGTAAACCACATGTATTTCTGACCATCTACTAACGTTTTCACATAAAATTACTCACCAGGATTAGACTGACTATAATGAAATTATAAGCAATGATTAGAATAAGTTGGATGTACTGGTATGTTTTATCAGTTTTTAAAAAAAAATTGCCTAGCACTTCTCGGAAGCTGTAATGGTTATGCTGCTGGTGGTAAGGAAAGGTGACATTTTTAAAACTGAACTTCTCAAATGCACTGAAAACGGTTGAAAGTAAAACTCCCCCATTCCTTTGTGAGCTGGATTTTGCAATATAATGAATTAATACGATGACAACTTTATCATCTGCTCGGTTTGAATGTCTTATACTTTGGTGTCAAATTCAGCAATGTAGAAGATAAACGTTGATGTGCTAACAGGGAAATTGCATCCTAAAGTGGTTTGCTGTGTTAAAAATCCTATAGGATGTGGTACAGACATGATCAGCTAAGGATCGACAGCTCAAGTGAAACACAGAGGGTTGATAATCATTATTTTGGAAGACCTGTTTATCTTATGTGATCCTCCCATACTGATGCTTTCAGCATAGGCAAGGAAAGTTAACAAAATACTTATTCCTGAAATTAACTTTTCTAAGGTTTCTACAGCACTGCTTGACTGCCTCCATGGTTTGGTCTGTTTAGGTTACTTTTCCTCTTTAAGTGATAATATCCTGCCATGTAAGTGGAAAATCAGGAATTAAGTAGCTATTTGAGCTGCAGCTTGGCAGACTCCATCTATTTTCTGGAAACCTTTGTCTACCATTGTTGAAATTATATTTAATATTGCAATAATTATATGTGTTTAGATTATTTTGGTATAGATATTCCACTGCTTGTATCCTGCTTATGTCCACTGCTATTACAGAATGCTGTTTGGCAATATTTCAGATTCACCTTTATCAGGGTTACGACACCTTATAGTAGCAATTGTTTAATTTCTTCTAATTGAAGTAAGAACTGTAGTATTGCAATTGTTTTATTCTTTTTGCAAACTTGATTCAGAAGAGTGACATGTTTTGATTGAATACTGGCGCTGTGTTTGTATGATGTTTTCTCTTTGTGAGAAGTATAATCTACCTAAGTAAGGTTTGATCTCTAGACTATGATGTCCTGAAATGGTTAACTAACATTAAAGGTATTTAAAAACTATATATTAACAGATTGAAATGAAGTGCTCAGAGAATATTTATAAAATGTCGAACATCACCCACAATGTGTCTGTCACAGATGGAACAAATGAATGTATTGACAGGTGTGCAATTGATAGAATAAATTTATAAACCTAAAATCCTTTCCAAGATGCCAGAAATTAACAGTTTGTCTTCAGTACTGGATGTGAATTAGCTTGAACAGAAGCTGAAGTCCCGTTAGGCAGCCAATGCTTTATTGCCTGTGTATTGGAAGAAAGTAATTTACTGTGTTTTTCTGAGACTGCGACAGTGAAATTTGTTCCTGAAACATTAGCCAGACAGCCTGGTGCAGTTCTAACTTGTGTGTTTGCTAGGGATAAATATATACCACATTTTAATTTCTTTCCAGAGTTAATGTGCTAGAGAACTCACCATATATGATGTGATTTCAGAAGAGCCAGTGCTTGGTTTGCAGTTTGCTTTCAGACTTAAGTGTACAGGTTATTTCATGTTGTGATGATACTCTGTGTGTTTAGAGTGACTGTTTTCATTAAGTTATAAGAAATAACACAGACTAAACTGATTTTCTGTGTGATCAGAGAGGTACCTACATAGCCTAGATTTTCAAAGGGACTGGAATGGCTGTATCTGACAACAGGTTTTCATTCTTATAGTACCTTGTAAAAGTCACACACAAGTACTGGCAACCAGCTAAACATTAGTGGTTTTTACATGTTTGCTGAGGGAAGAACACACTCCTATTCTAAAACAGCAGGGAAAGACAATGATTCTGATTTTGCTGTGTCATCTCTCCTGGCCATAGATGTGTTGGCTGCACCCCACAGGTAAATCTCCTCATACTGGTGGCATATGTGGTGCTTCCTCTGTCAGCCTCTGAAATGGTTCTTATTTTATAGGAGAAGTTATTGGTGTAGTAGGCAAGACAAGATCAAGTCTTTCTTATGAATGTGAATCCTTGTATCAAATTCACACTTAACTGTTCTTCCATTCAGTACAAATGCCATACTCTTGTAACAATGAATATAGGGCAAAATAAATTTTGGAAGCCACCCCCATTGTTTCAGCCATGTGCATGTACACAAATTTTTCTGTTCACATAAATGAAGTTGGGAAATGATGATGTAGTATATAGTAACTTTCTTGTGGTGCAGGTTTATATATTAGTATATTAGAGGATAGAACTAGTCAATGTGTACAGCAATTTTAATAGTATGATTTATATTAACAATAGAGATAATGTAGTGGCTAAGAGGTAAAAAAATGCTTAAATACAGTAGCCAGCATTTTTGCATAATGATTTATTTTTTCGAGGCATAGAATGCAAATTGGATAGAATTTAATTGATAGAGCTGGTTAAGTGTAAAATTAATTTTAATATGGCTTAAGTGAAGCAATAACTTCGATATACTAGACAAGCAATTTAAAGAAGCCACTGGTTACTTAGGTTATGGCTTCAACTTTATAATAACATTTTATTAAGGTTCATTGATATTTCACCTCCTAAGAATGTCTCCTTAAATTGAAATGCTGCTGTTAAGGGAAGGTATTTATTTTGGTGATGCTGCATTATGGAATTTAACTGGATAACTGCTGATGTTTTTTAAGTACTCCGTGTGTGTGTGTATATGTATATGTTTAAAAACATACAATNGTATTTATTTTGGTGATGCTGCATTATGGAATTTAACTGGATAACTGCTGATGTTTTTTAAGTACTCCGTGTGTGTGTGTATATGTATATGTTTATAAACATAGTGCAAGAACTACACAAAGGAAAACATTGTGAGTAATAAGTGTTTTGTCCCATCTACCTTTTGACAGGAGAATTAGATGACAGAGAACAGGCAAAGCTGGAAGTAAAAGTATGGGATCCAGATAGTCCCCTTACTGACCGTCAGATTGACCAGTTTTTAGTTGTAGCACGGTAAGATTAAAATCCTCTCATAAAAAAATCCTTTTCCTTTTTCTACTGACTATTTATTCCCCTATATCGTGTTACTCATCCTGTTTGCCATTTTGTGAGCCCTTCTCTTTCCCACAGTTAGCTAAAAGAGAAAATCACACCATGACCCTTTGTGTATTTATGGAAGCTACCAATACAGGAGAGTGTAAAAGAAAGTGAGTTTTGGAATAATGCTAAACTCCCTGTATTTCAGGTTATAGTAGAATTTGATACTTGGAATGTAGATATTGGTTTGCTTTCCCCTTAGAGTAAATTATTTCAGTGCTAATAATAATTCAGTCTTGTGTTTTAGAATACTTGGAATTTCATGGTGTAAAATAGAAGTTAAGAGTAGAAATAAAGGAAATGTTAACAAATGAAATGGGTGCAGAACTTGCCACGTATGCATGTAAGCTGAATAATGTACAGTGCAATTATTCTGGATGAATATTGAAATGAAGTTTTGAAGTCATGTATTTCATTAATGAAAAAAATCAAGTCAGTTCAATTTTATAAATTAACACGATTATGCAGATTTATGAAGACAACATCAAAGTGCTTTGAATTAATAAATACCTTTAGAAATTATTTCTTTACTTTAAAAAAAACCTCTTAAAAATTTGTAGGGTTCTTACTGAAGAACAATTCTGCATTCATAGGATACATCAGGTTTTGCCTTTCTGCTAATTCAAACTTACAAAGATACTGTTCTAATGATAACAGAAAACACGGTTCACATATGGGTTTTATCCTGAATAAATCCATTTCCTGTATTTTGAGATTACACTCTGCAAGCAGGTTATAAAAATCTTCTTAGGCAAATAATCCTTTTACATGGTTTCTAGTTTTTGGGATTTTTTCTTTCTTCCTTTTGAACAAAACATTTCAGGAAGGAAAAAAGAAAAATGTTGCTCTATATTTTCCTTCTTATGCATATGGTGATATGGGATGCTGATTTGCTCATTTACAGTTCAGCTGCTGATCCACTTGGTTTTTTCCTTACTCTCCTACTTGGAATGTTGTATCCTTTCTATAAAGTACTAAAACATCTTTTTTTTTTTTAACCTGCCCTTGTTGAATTTTTGAGCAAGATGGAGCATTAAAGGTGTTAAAAGGGGTTCCGAGAGTCACAGAGTCTGGTAGATGTTCCATAGAAACCAGGTATCTGAACTACTTTTTCACCAGCAGTATAATATCTGGAGAAGTATGGTCAGATTATTATGGTGTGCCCTAAAGACACATCTGGCAAAAAGACTCAATTTGGAAGAGTTCATTCATTGCTTTAAGATTCCTCTACTTGTTATTTCTCAGCCACTCTGGGGAGCTGAAGTAGTATTCTGTGGGGCCAAAAATGTTCCCAGAGGAGTGTAGCAGTAAGCAGCCTGCTGGGAAGTAACAGAGAACAATTAAATACATAAAGAAGAATATACTTCTCTCTTCCTGTTATTTAAGACACCCTTTGCAATGCTGTGCCCTGGCCAAGACTGCATTTTTTCCAAAGTTGATACATTTCTGTAAAAATGGTTTCTGTTAGAGTGGGTCATGGCAGATTAATTGTAACTATCCAAGATCTTGTGGTACTTGGATGACTTTCTGTAATCAGGTATTACTCAGGTGCAGCTTTGTGGATGTTCTTGCACAGAACTCCATTCATCTTTGGAAGTTGCTTTTTGACTGACAGAAACTGGTTTTATATTCACAGGATGCATTAAGTGCCTTCTGAGACAGATTTGGATTAATTTCTGGAAAAATGGTTCTGTGATGATTTGGTGGCAGCTTTCCATTCAGTGTGTTGTGTGGTTACAGGATTTATACTGGGCCATAATAGAGGACCATTAAAAGCTGCTTGAGTAGCAATGGAGAGCTGGTATTATGATGTGGTGAGCAGTGCTTACAGACAGCTCTGCTGTGGCCTAATTGTGATTCACTAGGCATTGGCTGTACCTGCTGGATTTCCAGTTGGAATGATCTTTCTCTGGTTATGTTTAGTTCAGCAAATTTGAAAATATGACGAGAATAATTTTTTTCCTAAGTGCCTTCCCAGGTGTGATTTTCTTTAAGTATGTGTATGCTATTTTGTTAGACATTTTAAAAGCATTTCCAATGGATCCTTTTTAGATGCTGTGTCGAAGTAATTGAGTATTTCTTCTCATTTTTTCCTTTTTTTTTGTCCTTAAATGCTTTACCTTTTTCAATCACACAGGCAACTTTCTTGGTTTTTTTAGACACATCATGTTTTTATGTGTTTAAATGCTCTTTTTATTTGTGTTGCCTGTTTACAAGTATATTTGTATTTTTACCTTGGACATGTAGCTTTCCCAGTCTTACAAGATTTGTTTACTGTCTCAGGAATGAGAAGCCTTTTTCCTAGGTTTATATGCCTGGTCAGTCTGGGCCTTTCATTAAGCCCTACTATTCAATTATTTCCTGGGTAGAAAGTTAGAAGAATATGCCTATCCCGTGCAGAAATTAGAGTTAACAGTGCCAAAAAAAAAAAAAGGTGGAGATCTGGAAAAATATGGAAGGATCAATGAACTTGGCCTCCCCATGTAGTCTTGCCCAACACACGAATCTTGAAAGTACCTTATTGCTGCTACTGAAGCATAATTTGGGTAAGGACTCTTGCTTGAACTAGCAAAAGCATCTGTTAGGAGAAGCATGAGGCATCAGACTAATGTATTCTGGGTTTGGGTTGTCTTTTGGGTAATGTTTGTGCTGTGGCAATGGCAAGTCCAACAGCATTTTCTACCAAATTCAAATAAGATACAACTGCATTCAACCAGTTTTCCTTCTGTCCTATACATTGGCCATGTTTCTTCTGTGTCTGCCAGCTTCAAAGGACAGTTTGAGAAGCTACAACAGCCATCTAGACCTGTCCACATTAGCAAATAGTTCTGAATAGTAGAATTGGATTTGTGGAATTGCAACATTTGGTGCTGAGGGCCTGGTGTCCACACTGCACATTTTGAGCAGATTTATTTTTAGTCATAACTAATCAGTTAATTAGCCCTGTGGACTAAATGTCTATGAGTGTGTGGAGCTACTTCTAACAGGAACCCAGTTAGTATGCTATGAGATACTTGTGGTTGTTGATTAAAATGCACTAGATAAAAACACTGCAGACAAGGGCTTTGAAACTCGGTTCCTAATTGGAGCTGATTTAGATACACACTGTTTTCTCCAGTCATCAGTCTCTTATCATTTCTAATATACAAGGAGTGCTTCATTTCATTGCCAGATCTTATGTTCTTTGTCTAGCACTGTCCCAAGTTGCACAGTGTTAGGAAATAAAAGCATTCCTATTGTCTGTATAACATAATAGTCCTGACTTTTTTTGGTTTTTCGGAGTCAAAAAATATCCTGCCCAGTCTCAAATGCAATAGGAGGTGTAGACTCTTATCTGGACAAATGCTGAGAGCTGAAGAAAGAACTTTTTTTTTTTTTTTAATTTTCTTTCTATCTTCTGATTTGGTCTAGAATTCATTGCATGATACCTTTTTGGTACATTCTAGTTCCTTTTATGTGCCTTATGATTCAGTGAAACCATTAAGAACATAGTTCTTTTATTCTGCTTCATCTAACTACATTACCAACATAGTCTTCTGGAAGGAATATATTTCTAAATGAAGCTGTTTTACAGACATATGTGGTCCCAGCTTATTTCCAACTAAACCAGAGTTTTGAAATGTAATTAAAATAGCCTTGAAACATTGCATGCCTACCCTAAAATTTTGTAGTTTGATTTCTATGACATTAAAATGGCTTTATATACCTCTATCTGACATATTTATCTTCAGTTGAATACCTGCTTTTTTTTTAATGTGAAATCGTAGAGGAATGGAAAATGACTGGTTAGTCATGTTAAATTAGAGCTTGATCCTTCTTGTGTGGTTCCCACTTTTTCATTTGCTCTAGGACAGTGATTATATTTATTTTCTGTTGGTTAGTTATAAGTGCTCACAATATGTTGGTGTATTTGGAGATGTTCTATGATCGTTACATTAATTTATCTTACAGTGGGGAAGGGAACACAATGCAGCTTCAATTGGCAAGGTGTCTTTCACTATAGAGAGGAAAATAATGCACTCATTATCTCAGAACCATAAGCAAAAACAGGTGTGATCAAAAAGTAGCCCTCTGTTCTTGTGAAATAATTAATTGTCGTCAGTGGCAGTAGACCAGATTCCCAAAGCTCATAAATGAAAATAAATACATTAAAGACATTGGTTTGCAGTCTTCAGTATTACAATGCTTCTGGATTCTCTGGAGGTGCTGAGAAGTAAAAGGAATTGAAGTTCATTAAAGAGGTAATTAAATTTAATGGCAGAATTGCAACATAAAATTATGCAGCAAAAATGGTGAAAAATCTCGATGCCAATGCTGTGCTCATGAAACTGAATGTTTGCTAGGAAGGTGAATTACAGCATCTAATGGTAGGCAGGTGGTTTGGCAGTAAAAAGGAAAAATATGTTCACATCAAGTTTACCAGGCATATCAAAAATTCTATGTTTCTGCCTGTCATGCCTGGCTAGTATATGTTTATTCCTTTGTGCATGTTGTATTACTGTTATTCTTGACCCAATTCATTTGAAAAGAACTAATTCAGACTTGGAGCTGAATTTCTTTTTGTATCTTTTTAATGAACTTTGATCTATTGCAGTACAAAGAATAAATTTCAGTAGCAGAGTTTTCATGGACCTGATTTTAGGGGGCTATACATCTCCTCTGTGACTGTAAAATTGCAGGATGGCATGCAGATGATGCCTTAAATAACATCCTGTGAATTAAACTACTTTTATCTATCGGATTCTATTTCTGTTGAATAAGAAAGATTTCACATATGCTTCATTTCTATTCATATAGCTATGAAAGTGAAGGTTGGTCGTATCATACATTTGTATATCATGCCAACCTTACTCTGAGAGTCTTTCAGCAGAAGAATAGTGGCAGGTGACTTTTCATGTTTATCATGCCATCTCACTTTGTGCTGTAAATACCTGAAGTGATAATAATGAAGCATAGCACTGTACAGACAGTTGCTTAGACATGGAAAGAAAACATATTTTGTAACAGCATCATTTTATTTGAATATATTCTGCAGATCAGATTTTGCAAAATTGAGTAGTAAAAATCTCACGTGTATTTTCAGTTTTAAATTAATGTTTTGTTGCTTGCATGTGCATTGTTTTCCTCAAAAATATTAGCTCAGGAGGTGAGGCATAGGTCTCATTCATTAGTTTGCAAGTATCTGCAGAGAATTGTGGATTTGCAGATTCATGTATGCACAGATGTGATTCTCTTCCAGCACCTTTGTCCAGAGTATACCCAGTACTTGTCTGGTATCACTGACACAGACAAGCAGTGTAAAAAAAGTGAACAGTTTTGAAATAAACATCATCAGATTGAGAAGGATGTATGTTTCAGCTGGATTTTCAAGAATACAAGGTAAAAGAAAATTGGGAGTTACTTGCCTGCATCCGGAACTTTCTGGATCTGATTTGATGCCAAACCACTGTTGCTACTGGGAGAAGCAGAGGCTATTTTTATCCTCATGTATAATTGCAGTGGTTCCAGATTTTCTTTGGTAAATAACAGCCCTCTTCAGAACTAGGACTGACAAGCCACCAAATCTTTGGAAGCTTGTTAGGACAGTCTCTTGTGTTTGCTGCTTCTTAATTTCTTTGGGTACCACTAATATTAAGCTTAAGCAAAAAATTTGAACAATTATTTCCTTTAATGTCTTAGACTTGAGCTATAAGAAATTTGGAGTGATACATTTTCTGTGTTCAAAATCTCATCTGAAATTTTGCCTAAATGCAGGGCACACAGGCATAGCAACTACAGGGATCTCTTACTTTTTTGGACATGGAGCCTGTTGAGTTTTGCTGAACATTTATTTATTCCATAATCTTAGATCTTGGCACTGGACTATATCCATTTGTTTTGTTTGTATGGTTGTCAGCTGCAATCTGTTATAAACCTTCTTGGTTCTGCTCTTGAAGATAATTTAACCAAGGAAAACCTAATTAAGGTAACATTGGATCATTTGATCTAACCCTTAAAGCTGCTATAGCTGCTTGCTGATGCAGGCTGTGCAGAGAGTAATCTCCCTGCTGATAATGTCAATTGTTTGTCTCGTCCATCTCTCTGCCACCTGTGTAATTCACTGTCTGGGTGACTTTTGGCTTTAGCTTATTTTGGAAAATGTGAGGAGTTTTGGTTTCTGTTTGAAGTCTAAGTATTTTAATTACACCTTGAATAATTCCTAAGTATCTTGCTGAGCACAGATTTTTGGGTTGTCAGTTTATTATTGTTGCTATCGAATTAAATATAATTTCAGTTAACTATGTACAATTGTTCTTTGAATTCTACAAGCTTAACAACACATTAATATTGAAAGTTTGTTAAGAAGAATGAGTGGTTAGGGTGTGGCTGTTTAGCCTGTGTTGGTTTAATACTGAGTTTTATTTTTGGTAGGTGAAGACAATACTGTGTCTTCTGGAAATGGCATTGGTTAGTTATTTATTTTGTTCCTTTTCTAAAACAGTTATTGAATGGTGGAATTAGAAAAAAATAATGCAAGGAAAAATGACAAAGGCACATTTTGACCTTTGCATCAATATGTACCTCATATGTGTATTTTTTATTGAAAAATTAAAAAAATAAGGTATTTTAGTGAATTCTAAAATTAATATTGAATTTGGATGTGAATTACATATCTAGATTATACAAAACACTGTATATCGCTATTTAATTTTGAACCTAGTTACTATTCAACAGCCAGATGCTCTAGAATTTCTACTCTAATTGGAAATTCACTGTTTTTCACAAGTTTCTATGGAAAGGAGAACTGGAAGTTAGTTTGATTTCAAGAGAGCCACAGACATTCACACACCTCACACCTCCAGACCCCCAGTTTGTGTCCCAGTTTGTTTGTAAAACAAATAATACATAATAAAATGCAGGCAGTGTACCATTTTGGGTGCCAATGGTGACAGGATAGGGGGTGGGGATGGTAGAGGACATTATGTTTGATGCTGGTTTTATTATTGTCTAGCTTGCAGGTAGCAGCAGAAGGGAAATGCAGTCATTCCACATTGACTGGTTTGAGCAGTAGGGACAGAAGGATCACAGGAAAGACTGCTTAGCTACAGCCCTTATCAATGCCAATGTGTTGAAAGGGGTTGACAGACTATCAGGAGATGTGTTCATAATAGAGCCTTATTCTTGGGAGTGATTTGTGGACAAATACTGTTTTATGTACTGCCAAGCTTTAAAAAAAAAGAAAGTAGAATATGTGTGTGTATTCTTTTCTCATATTTGCCATCTCCACAAAGAGGGAGCAAAGGTGGAAAAGCATTTGAGTGTCACTTATTTCTTCCACAGCCTTTAAAAAAGCAGTTAATACCAGAGGTCTGAACCACTACTGTTGAATCTTAACTTGTAAGACTGTGGCAGCAAGTACTGAAACGTGCATTCAGTAATAAATTTTTTGAGATTCAAGATAAAATTGTTGTAACATACTTTATTATCAGTTTCTCTACGTTCATTTATAACTTCAGTGAGTTTAAGTCTTGGTGCACATTATTTTATTGTTGAATATCAGATTTGCAGGATACAGCAATGTGTATTTGTGTCAGTGAAGTTCACCACTGGTATAATTCTGTACTTGTAATTTGTGTGGGGTGTAATTGCTGAGTGAGGCTGGAGTCCCTACACCAGAGGATTGATTGTGTTACATCTGTTACGTAACTGAATCTTTGAAATTAGGAGAGCTTGTGTCATTACTGAAACAAATGGGTTTTTCTGATAGCAATGTGATACAATGCACCTCAAGAACATGGTACAAATCCAGGTACTGGAGGAGCTTCTGGTCTGTTCATTGATAATCTTTTGTGTCACTGCATCTTTACTCATGTCCTGTATGATATGCTGGGCCCAATCAAATCCTTTTACTTCACTGTGCACGATACATAAATATACTTCCAAGAAATGCTTGCTGCTCTCCAAGAAATTTTTAAAGTTTCGCACAGTCTAAGTATAATAGATCCCATGTACAATTCATCAACAAAAGTGGAAAAGGAAGTAAAGTTTTGGAATAATATGTCCGTTTCAATAATGCAATGCTTTAATTAAGTAGGTTGAGAGATCAATTTATTTCATTATTGCTTAAAAGCTGTGACAACATCAGGATTTTGGGGGTACCTTATACTAGGCTAATATCCTTTTTTTACCTCACTAATGGAAGTAGTAGTTATGTACTACTGAAGTGAATAAAATGTTTTTCATTTCCTCACGGGGACATGGTGAACCTCCTTTTTAATTCGAATTATAATTTTAAAGCACTATTATAGCGTTATAATTTTAGAACTAATAGTACTGATTGTAAAGCCCAAACTGTGGAGAACCTTTGATTTCAAAATTAATTGAAAAATCAATATATTAAGAGGTTGGTACATGAGAATTCTGAGTATCTTTTGTTTCTGAGCTGCTGTTCTTCTATGTACGTTGTTACTTTTGGGGGCAGAAGGTCAGAGTTTTTGCTGCAGTGTTTGGTGATTTGTCTTTATCATGTTGTTCTTTGTTAGCAAAGATCTGAAATCTTAACGCTATGTGACTTCCATGTGTAAAAGGACACTTTTATAGCTATGGCACAGTCTGATATAAGAGATGAGATTTTCTGTGTATTTACTGTTGCTCCTGTTCCTCTGTTGCAGTGCGGTTGGCACGTTTGCTCGAGCCTTGGACTGCAGTAGTTCTGTCAGGCAACCCAGTTTACACATGAGTGCAGCTGCTGCTTCCCGAGACATCACACTGGTAGGTGGCTTCTTAAACATCTTACAACTTCTGTATCCATGAATTCAACACTATCTGCTATTCCCATGTCCCCATTTTCCACCTGTTGTCCTTTAGATACCTGCGTGCCAGGTCTGTGTGTGTGTGTTAGAAAATCCTCTGTGTTTTCTCTAAGCTTTTCAGTGCTGCCCTTGTAATCACACTGTGCAACATTTGGCTTTAGCTGTGGATCACCCACAGCAGAATGGATAATACACATTGTATTTAATTCATTGAGGGCAGTGTCGTTTAAAGAATGTGGTAATAAAGCTGATTGAAAATTGTGTGGATAATACTTTTCACTTACTGAATGTACATGTCATCGTATTTTCTAAAGGATAAGCAATCTGACTTTGTAAGTATATTTTTAAGAACATATTAATTAGCATATTCCTACTGTGTTTCCATAGTATGCTGTTCACTGTTGATGTAAGCACGAGCATCTTATAGAGAAAGGGAGAAATATATTGATTACAGGTTTGTTTCTGTATAGTCATACTAGCTGAGATGAGAAGGTGTGCTACAGTAAAGAAAGTATGCCAAGAACACTATGTGAGACCAAAAATATTACTGTTTCAGAGAATCAAGTTTGACTTAGATTTCCAAAGACATCAACTCTTGTTATATTACTTGAGGTATTTTTGTACCTGAACACTATCATGTAGTTTAGGCTAAAGAAGACCTGCTATTTACCAGATACTGAAATATTAGAATTAGAGGAAACTCAAAAAACCTAATAGATTAATTTAAAATAGTTAAGGCACTGACTTATAAAGTGAATAGAGAGCCCCAAAAATTCAGTTGCACGAAATTTTGTGGGAATGGACAGTACCAGCAGGTTAAAGAAAGGTTAGAAGAATGATGTAGCCATATAGGCCATAAATTAGTACTGAGGAGAATAAGGAAAAGTGTAACTTCTAAATGTCTTCATTCTGAAACTTTGTAGCTGCTGGTCAATGAAATGGGAATTTACCTCAGACTGTGACTCAGACTTACCTGAATATTTTACCTAATATTCCTTGGTGCTACTGTAAGAGACACAATGCTGAGTTAGATGGGTGATTGGTCTGATTCAGTGGGACAATTATTGTATTCCAGATAAAATAAATTTTTTATTATGGTTACAAAAATATGTAATTTGTTACCTTTTGCAGTGTACTCAAAAGGCTATTGAACAGGAAACTGGTTTAGTCTGGACTATGATAGTATTGTAAAGGCAGGGGCAAAGTGTGATGTTTCCACTAATACTTAAAATGAATTTTCTGTTTCACAGTTGCTAATATGACTTTTACAAACACAGCTCTGCTCACATTAAATACTTAATTTTGTTCATCAAAATAGTTCTTTAACATTTTTAATTTTATTAATATTTCGTTGGATTAAGAATTTCTAATGCATTTCACACATTGCATATCCCTTCTTTATTTGCATCCTGTATTCAGTGATTAATAGAGTGGATTTATCCTTATGGCAATTTCTCATTTGAAAGTATGTGTGCAATGCTGCTAATAAAGGGATACTTTGTTTGAGTGCCATGTTAATGTTTTTCCATTGCAAATGATCCATTAAGTTCCATTACACTTAATGAAAGGCATATCTTATAATGAGGCATCAGAGGAACCACCCTATGCTTAATTATTGTGTCTGTCTATTCTCATTTTCCTACCCCCTCAGCTTTTTAAAACCCTACTTTTTTGCTTTTTGGCAACGTACTTCCTTCTTGGTTAAGAAAAGACATATTTGTCATTATAATAGTTACTTTTTCAGACATTTCCATGTTAATTGGGAGGATATTTTCAGCAGCAGTTGAAGTTAGTAGAGACATTTGCAGAACTTGTGGTGTATCTCATTTATACTTTGTATATAGGTGCATAACACTAAGAAAATTACACCATCTATCTTGTTAATGCAAGGCAGATAACCCCTGTACCTGAGGTGCTATTAATGGGATTTCTGTATGCCACACCTGTGGCTTTCCAGTATTCCTAATTAAATTTTAATCCTAATTAGTTTTAATCAGAGGTAACTGTAAACAGACTGATATTAAAAAAAAAAAAAAAAAAAAGCCTAGATTATGAACATAGATAAATTCAGGGTTGATGTACACATTTTTTGCAGATGGATAACAACTCAGAGGCTGCTTTTCAGGCTCCTTTATTTTGAAAACATAGGGATGGTAATGAGACAAGATAGGAAACCCCCTGCTTTTAGAAAACCCTACTGAAGACATGAAACAATGTCTGTTTACCTTCTTAGATGATAATGTGCTTCTCTTACAGTGGTAAAGACTTGTGAGACAACCAACTAAAGCTTGCATTTCTGGCCTTCTCAAAGGCAGTGCTTTATTTTATAATGATAATTGATCTCTTAAGAAGAGAAAGAGACTGGGAGGACTTTGTTTCAGATTTCTAAATATTTCATAGTGCATATACTGACCATGAGAGCCATTTAAAGCAAAGCAGGCTAATAGCATCACTTGCTCCTTGTGGTGAGTTTGTTTAGAAGAGCTTATGTGACATTACTGTAGGGATCTAAATCTGATATTGGATATCTCTTCAAAACGAAAAGTATAAGCAGTCTTTTTCTTTTCATTTTGGATGATGCCTTTTTAATGATTTTTATTAGACTTCTATATATGTGGCTCCTAAGGTAAAAAACACTTAAAATATGATTGAGTTGGAGAATCCACACTCAGTTTCCAGTTTGAGTGCTTTGTTGGAGGCAGTTCAGTCTGAAATTGCAGCTGGTTTGGGAGCTGTGTTGTGTGACTGGCTGCAGGATGCTCTGTCATGCCCTTTCTTCTAGCTCCATGCAGCTATTCCTTAGCTTTTGGTGGGAAGTTTCTTCCTCTGCCTGCTTATATTTGTACTTGAAGTTGCCTCTTGGCTGCATGACTAACACTTTTCCTCAGTCCTATGTCTGTGCTGGACAGCATGCTCTGGGCAAGGGTTCTTAGGGAAGGGTGCTTCTTTCTCTGTCCTTCAGGCTCCTGTTTGGGAGAGGCAATGCCAGGTCTCCCAGCCTCCGGCTTCTTAGGGTAAAGCAGATAAAAAGAAGATACTCCACGACTTTTTCTCTCAGTCTGTATGAATTCCCTCAGGCTTCTATTACTTTTGCTACCACAGTTTGCACTGCAGAGTGGAAATTTGATACAGGTCAGGGCTGACAGACCTGTAGAAGGCAGAGTTGTTATCAATGAGCTTGTCAGTGGTCTTCTGTCACAGGACAGCTCAGTGAAGACTTATCCACTTATCCACCGAGTTCAGTATGAATCTTTTCTTTAGACATATCAAAAAAGCATTACAGAGTCAGATGTTTATTATAGAGGAAAAATGAACATAAAGCCAAGGGCAAGATTTCTATTTATTCACTTCTGTTATCATTTTTATGAAAGTTGGTATCAGTGAATAGATCTGGATTCAGCAGCTGCTTGGAAGATGCTCTCTGTGTACTGCTTTTCTATGAGGGCTGCAATTTAAACAAAGATTTTAACCTCAGTAATACATCTGCTGTAAGGGCTCAATCTTTAGACCTGGTTTACTCATTGCCTGAATGGTAAACAATAAACCAGTGATTTCACTGTACATTCTCTAATATGAAGCTGATGGATTTTAGGCATTGTGTTACATATTTTCATATTAGAAGCCTTGATTTTAATAATGGCTTTTCTCCAAGCTGGTGAATTTGATTGAACCATAAGTAAAATTATATGTTGCAGGATAATAGTGACATTGCTTCTTGCAGACAAAAGAGTTTCAAAATCTTGTGCTTGATAGCACTCAAAGACTTACAGTAAACACTGGAGTAAGACAATAGTAATTCATAGAAGATGGCAAAAGATCAGAAAACTCCATTATTTGCAGTAGATTTGTATGCAGAAGCTCAGCTGGAATAGCTGTACTGACACATAGTGCAGGAGTGTTCCTTCCTTGGAAGGTTTTCTCATGGCTGGGTTTGAGGCCGTGTGCGAGTTTGCACGTGCCCTTGGAGCTCAGCACTGTGGTGGGACACATTGGAAGGAGGCTGATACAGAGCCACAAACATTATTGCACTTTGATACCTCCTTCAGCACAGCCAGCTGGATTGTGCTCATGGGGTCTTTTGGGACACTGAGTCAGAAATGCTTCTCGTGTGCTGCTCTTTTTCCCAATGGGGGATTTGTTTACTTTTTATATTCCCTATCATTGGCTAGCAGTGGGAGCTAGCCTTCAGTGTTATCTATAGTGGGAAGATTGTTTTAATTTGTTTGTTTTCAGTTTTTCTCTTTCATAACAGAAAGGGAATCAAACAAAGAAAGCTTATTTACCAGTCTGACAACAGTGTTTAGCAAGGGATGGAAATCTTGCTGGTCTTTCAGTATGATGATATTGAAAACAACGTCTTCCTTCACCAGCAATGAGAATATTGAGCTCATAGATGTCTGAGCAGCTGTTTAGTTATTATTTAGAGCTTCTGTTAATTGAAAATGGCCCCACAGTCAATATATGACACTGTCTTTATTGGGTTTCTTGGAACCAATTTCTACCAACAAGAGATTCTTTAGAAATGTTTCCTAGTAATTTGCAGGAACTAATAAACTAATGTCATTTTTGGTAAACATTTTATCAAGGAATTTCCTTTCCCAGATGAAGTAATAAACCATTTATTTTCCTCATATTCTGCAGCAGAAAACTATGATATCAAGATAGATTCCAAATTTAGCATTAATGGAGACTCCTTGCTTGATTTATAGAGAATAACAAATTGAATTTGCATTACAGATGGACTACTGTCTATTTAAACACGTCTTTATTCTCTCCTTGTCCCTGCCAGTTTCATGCAATGGACACACTGCACAAACACAACTATGATCTGAGCAGTGCCATCAGTGTTCTAGTGCCACTGGGAGGGCCTGTCTTGTGTAGAGATGAAATGGAAGAGTGGTCAGCATCAGAAGCCAGTTTATTTGAAGAGGCTTTGGAGAAGTATGGCAAGGACTTCAATGACATTCGACAAGACTTTGTAAGTATGAAAGTGGTGCTCTTTCCTGGAGCTGTGTTTTGCCATGGTTGAGCATAGCTGCTTTCTGGAGGTTTGGAAGGTTTAGCTAGAGGAGAAATCTGTGTAGCTGATATGTGTGATTAACATATCTATACGTTTTATCTGGTTTAAAGTCAATATGCTGTCTTGTTCAATGCTGTTGTTTGGAAAGATGGTGACAGAAGGTAATGTTTAGTGGTTTAATATCAGGTATATTTCATGCTGAGACGTTCTGATGAGGATTTTTACAAGGATCTTACAAGCATCTGAAAAAGGTCCAGGAACTTTGCAGAGTGCTTCCACAATTTCCAGTGAAATTCATTAGCAGCTACATGGCTGACTCCCCTGGGTGTTTTTGGAAAGCTGGGGTTTCCTACTATGGTTAGCAGAGAGAAATTAGTATTCAAATAGATTTTAAAATGTACTACAGGGAGTTGTTTTGACATATTAGATATTTTGGCAGTTCTGAAAAGTAAAAGAAATGTTTCCCAATATGTTCTAACTACAATCATTTTGGTAGTGAAGTATCAGACTGTAGGGCAGTAAACCTTTAATTTGCTAATTCTAATGCAGGGTAATGAAATTAAATGGATTCTAACACTGATTGCTGGAATTGCTAGTAATTTGTTGCAATTTTTTTCACATTTTATGGAGAGCCTTTTTCTTTCAAGGAGAAATATTTCCTCTGTTGTATCATATTCAAGTTGGACTTCATGAAAAAGTTAAGATTTGAACCAAAGAAATTCCATTATTTAAGACTGAAGCTGATTGAAACATTTTTGTATTAAACTCATTCTGCTTGACTCTGAGGGCTCAGTTTTTTAAATTCTCTTTGCAGAAGCTTATTAATAATCTTTGTGGGGGGGAAAAAAAAGGCATTGTATGGTAAATGTAGAAGTCCTTCCAAGATAGAGTGCAGGACAGTGGGAGGAGGCTTGGCAATGAGCTGAGCTGTCTTTCCTTCATTTCCACAGATTTGAAATGGAACAGGTAATTGGATGAAGGTGGGAAGGGAAGGCTATTGTTTTTCTAAAGAACTGACGTTTCAATAGGTGTATTATAGCTGCATGCTTAATTTTGAGATTCCTGAGGGAGAAAATGTTCACTGCGTTCATAAGGTTGAAAGTTGCATCATGGCTGAAAGAGCTCTTCTAAGTTCAAGAAAATATTATTGAAAAATAATATTTATAGTTTTTTTAGAACATAAATCTTAATGTAAACTACATTTCTTGTTATTTATTATACCGACAAATGCTTCTCATTTGTAACTGTGCAATAGTTCAGGTGCTATGTATTCTAATTAAATGGTTCCTAATATATAATATTTGGCTTTTGAAAATGCTGTGAGCATATAGCATGTTTTATTGGCTTTTTATAAGTTGTGTCCTAACACAATTTGTGAGCAAGCTTGCAGAAGGCTTGTCTATGGTATTTATGAAGTATTTTTACTTTTTGTATAATTTCTGTGTTACCTACTACTACATTAAAGTGATGCAGTGTAGTAACGGGAGTTGTGTAACGAGAGAAGCATAATGAGAATTGCTTCTGCATTTGTAATATTCAAATGCTAGATATTTGAATGACTTTATTAGAAGCTGTTTACAATGTTCAAATTTTGTCTTGGATACCCTGATAAAATTTTGTCCTGATACCCTCCCTCCTTCACTAAATCTTCCTTCCCAAAGTGCAGCTATTTTCCCCTGATCTCTCCCAAAGCAGGAGACACACACAGATCTTGTGATAGCATTGCACAGCCTACTGAGGGCACCTTAACCATGAGTCAGAGTGCAGCACAAATGGATGTGGGGCACTAATTAATTATAGCTTCATTTAGTTAGAATAGGGATACTATCTATTCTTAGTCGCTTCTTAAAATTTCTTTGGAAAAGCGTCATTTAAAAAACATCCTTAGAAGAACGTTTATTTTATATCTCAATTTATGTGGTACGAAGAACAGTGCAATCTATATTTAATTCTATGTAATTTGAAATCTTTCAGTTATGTTAGTCATTGTGTAGTCTTGGGATATCTTCATTTCTCTAGTGTAAAATTTGTTTTTACTTCCTGAGTAGCATTCTAAAAGTGCAGGGATTTGATAACACACATTTGCTTTTTAAGTAATCATCAAAAATAGTCCTTGGAGATTTAGATCATGGAAATGTGAAAAGTTTCTGCAAGGTGAGGTAGGTATAAATATGTAGCACGTAAGCAGTGATTTTCCAGGGTAATACTTTTATCTGTTACCATCCCTCTCTTCAGTGGTGAGCCATTGACAAATTTGCTTATTGCTAAGCATCTAAGTACTCTTAGATATGTTGTAAGAGCAAGGGCAAAGGAGATAATGAACTGATAGTGTATGTGTGAACTTGTTCAGATCTCCATGTAGGATCTAGTGATAAAATTAAAGTCTGCAGTGCCTGAGATTAAACTCCAACCTCAGCAGACATTGCAGTGGTGCCACAGGACAGGCAAGAGAGTCACATTGCATGGCAGAAAGGGGTTGGTAGCAGTCTCCTGAAGCAGAAGGGTGATGTAGTACCTGCCTGAGTCATTACATCCCGGAGGAGTTGCCTTTTCTGAGCTGGCCCAGATTTGCAAGGCACAGCAGCTGCAATTGCAGCCCTTACATGACAGTTCTGTAAAGGGCAGATTCATTTACTTTTCCAGCAGTTACTGTGAACTGCCACTGTTTGATGTTCAATGTGCAGCTCAAGTATTAAGCTACAAACACTAAATATTAGTAAACAAGATTGTTATAAATTAAATAGTGTAAAGGTCTTTACCTTTTTTTCATAACTAGGAGATGCTCATTTGTAATCAAGTTACCAATCTAGCTTTTGAATAATAATTTTCATTGACTCTTATAGGAGAGGTTCTTCTATCTTTAAGACTCTGTGTGAATCCTAATCAAGATAAACCTTATAAGCTAATTCAATTTACTTGATGTGCTTGAATTATTTCACATCTGTCATCCCAGAGTAGTAGAATGGAAAAAGAATGGATATTTTATGTTCTCCAAATGTAACTATTTTCCTAACAGTAGGTTACACTTGTTAATTCTTAGTTTATCATTATCAAAAGTTTTCACAAATTTATAACTATTACATCTCAGGTATGGCAGGAAAAGCCTTGGTAATCCAGAATAGGAACTGTTTATAGAAAGCAGGAGCAACTGTTTTCCAGCTTTAGAAAATTGTGACAACGTTCCTTAAAATTACCACATTTATTTTAGGATGATTTATAATCCTAAATTTTTCTTGCTGATCTGATTTGATTGGTCTACTTTTAGCCCAGAGAAACTTAAAGAAACTTAAAATTCTCCTCTCTCTGTTTTTATAGAGCTGGTAGCTTTTGCTAATTTTCTCCTGCAAAAACGTTGTGCAGATGTGCATATTTACTTTCAAGAACAGAATTTGGTAATGGCAATGCATTATTCTATGGCTGTTCACAGCTTCACTTCAGAGCATTAAATGCATAGGTAAATGGAATACAGATTATCCATACTCAGTCTATCAAACAGCTTTTCCAAGTTTTGAATCAAAGTGTAAAAGGATTACTGTTATTTGGTCCAAGCATCTTAATTGTCTTCCTTTAATTGCAGATGCCTACTGAGTGAATGAACATTCTGGTGTCACAGCCATAGTTAAAACAGATTAAAGTATCTTCTAGAGAAATGGCAAACGTTTGTAGTGTGATCATGCTAATAAATATTCAGGAATGAAAATAAATGGATATGCTAAAATGCACTAATTGACAATGGCAGGTGGTTGGGGTGAAGGCATTTCACCTGGATGCCAGGAGGAACATGGAGCTGGCACTGGAGAATCATTTCATCTGTCACCTCACACCAAACACATCTTCTTGTCATTGGCCTTTTTAAGGGAGGATTTCTCTCAAGGCATAATTTACCTGAGAAAGCAAAAGGAATTTAGGAACCTGAATTGTGCTACTACTTATTGGGACATCAGTCACACACTGCTACTTTTGGATCAAATGCAAATGTTCAGGGATTCACACACTGGGGCACACTTCTGACCGAACCTGAATCAAGCAGCTTGAAAAACTAGTGAGCTCCTTCATGCAGGGAGAGGCAGTTGCAGAAGGTGCTCCTCTGGTGTTTTAGGAATTTAACTAAAGGTGCAGGAAATTATTCTTTTGGCTTAAGAAATGCAGAAAGCTGCCTAGTGGGGTCAGTAAGGTTGGAAAGATCAGTTTGCACACCTGTATTTTCTGGAACCTCCTAAACATCATCCTCATTTCTAGAAAGCAGATAATATTTGCATTAATGCATACCTCTAGAAAATATAACACACAAATTAGCAATGTTTCCAAGTTATGAAGAAAAATTGCATGAATTTTGGATTCGACATTCTAATTTAAATTATCGAAAGACATTGTGGAGTTAAATAGATTATTTAGTGATAATTAAAAATGATTGCCTAATTTTCTCCCCTACACTTAGGTTAACACATTTTTATTTTACTGATGAATATGGGCATCCAACATAATTTTCATTATCAAAGTTACCTTGTTTGTACAGAGATTTTTGTGAAATATTTATTGTCAGTATCACTCTTGTTGCTCAGGGTAACATTTGTCCCTCGCATTCTTTTGTTTCTTGTTAAGAGTTGAGAGCATGTGGGAGTTTATGCAAAGCTAGTGGTAATGTATGAGCAGCTGAGTTGTCATGGGTCATGAAAAATCTGTGAACTAAGTATGGTATCCTTTGTATTTTTTAAGAGTAAAATTATCATGACACTCGAGCACAGTCTTGTCAAGATGATTTCTTTTAGTCCTAACGTTATTCTCTTTATAATAGAGATATTACCTACCACCCTGTTTCCTGATGGGAATCTGCATTGTTTTGATCATTTTGTTTAACTATATGGCATAAATTTATTCTTACATTTATTATGAATAAATTAGATTTAGATTTGGATGTGTGATACTGTAATTCTGCTTAGTTCTTAACTACAAGGAAAGGTTGTGTATTATTAATTGCAATATGTGTTTGTTTGCATATGGATTCTAATGCAGTTATTTTATACATTCAGGTTTTAGTATTTGTCTCAACTATAGTTGATTTTAACATGTGTTTAACAAGAAGTGGACGTTGCAATTTCGTGGAACCGCTTTAACTTGTAACAATCAAATGTTTTTCAGCTCCCTTGGAAGTCGCTGACTAGCATCATTGAGTATTATTACATGTGGAAAACCACTGACAGATATGTGCAGCAGGTAATTTAATTTATTTTTGAATGAACCAGTCTGAGACATTCTTTAAAAAAGTAATCCTGTTAAAGCATAAAAATCTGTCTGTGTTCTTGAAAAGGTATTTGATGGGAGGGCTAAGGTAATATTTTGAGGTATAGACCAGTGGTTCTGTGCTGTTACAGGCTGCATTGTCACATCCTCTGATGCCTGCTGTACATCACATAGCTGTGAAGAGCTTTTTAACCTATTTGTGTGCTGGTTTGAAGCAATGGGGTTCCTGGTTCCTCTGCAGTAGGGGATCAGACCAAATGGGCCACAGAGCAAATGGTTTATTTAGGCTGTGAAGCTCTGCCATGGGACTGAAGGAAGCAGAAAAATACATTGTGTTAGTGGCTGCTGGCGTTATGAACCTTTTATTGGTACTTCTGGACAAAACATTACTTTGGCATTACCAGCATTTCAAAATTGGGACCATTCTGCACACAGTGGATGTGTTCCCTTCTGATTGAATGTTCAACTGTTTGAATTGCTCTGGAGCAAACATGTTAGGATTATATTGGATCCCAATACTGGGATATTTTTAGCAGCTTTAGCCAAAATGTCAGTGGTGGTGCTTTTTATATACTCTACTCTTTATATATTTGCTCCCTGATTTAGACATAAAATACTTTAAAAGACTCCATTTTAATTTCTTATTTAATGTTTAAGCTTGTAGCTCCTTTATTTGCTGCATAATTAATGGTGATGTTATGCACAGTGTGTTGAAAATATTTTTTATGCTGTAATAATTACAGCTGTACTGTTAGATGGATCTTTGGACTTGTTTCAGATTAAATATATCAGGGATGATTACTTAAGGTTGTGCTGGTTTGTTTGAAATGGTTTCTACATCATCTTGTTAGGGTATGGAAGGTAAGGGAAAGGTCTTTTACCTCATGGTAAAGTCTTGGAGTATCACTAGGACATTTTAGTCCTTTAGACTTTAGACATTTAGTTTGGATAATACAAATAGAATATCATATGTTCCATATAAAGGCATGTTCTTCTAGATTTGTCACCATTCATTTCACTTTTAACCCCCTTTTTTCCACTGTTAATTTTTATGCTAGAAAGGTGCTGTGAACAGATTTGCTGTGCATCTTGTCAGATCTTAATGGTTGGGCAACAGATTAGCTTTAAGATAAAAATGTGACTTTTTTTTCTAAAATACTTGCTCTGGAGTGGCTGGTGAAAGACTAAGAATCCTTTTGTAGTTCTCTAGAGCTTTCTTATGATCGTGTTGCTACAATGATCAAGGTGTGTGTGTGTTAAGATTGCATATCCTTTCACAGTATTGGGGTTTTTACAGGAAAATCACATAGGCTTTATGGTTATCTGCAAATTGAATGCTCTTGTAAATGCCTGTGTCTTAGTTGTAACTAAATAAACTTCCAGGGTTCTGGGTTTTTTTCCCCAAAAAAGAACAAGCAGTGATAATTGAATGTTGTTCAGGGAGAAAATGTGTTCCATAATAAAGTGGCAATTTCAGAGTCATTCTTCTCTAAATCTCATGCTTGGTGGGCATAGGAAGATGAAAAAGGTCAGTGCACATACTTGAATCTTAAAATACAATCTCTGAGTTCTAGATTGGCGTGATTTAATATGAAAAATTGCTTTTAGCTATCTTTATTTCTTTGTGTGAATTGGCATAAGAAAGGTTTCTTTACCGTAATTGTTACTAAAAGTTATTCTTGCTAAATTATGGTGTGGTGATTTAATGGCAATGGAGGTACTGCTACCACCTTGCTTTGAGAACATCTTCCCTCAGTCAAAGCAAACAGAAGAGATGTTAAAGGTTTCTGAACTTCCTACCAAAACTAATTCAGCCTTGGCTAACCATTCTTGATGATAGGACATTTCTCATGACCACTACATGATACATAGTGTTTGAGGAAGGCCAGGTTTTGATTGTTTCATTCTACTGAATGAAAACTTATTAGTGATGTTCTCCGTGAAAGTCCGATTCAATGGGAAAAGACTTTATTGAGACTTTGTAAGAGGAAAAAACTGAACGTATTAAATGGTAGCTAAATTGGTCTACTGAAACAATATATTACATTTCCCTCTCATTTATTTATTTCCACTGTTGCAAACACTGCTAATTTAGGGAAGTGGTCATTTCTTGGAATATTTGTAAGTTGATATTCCTAAAAAAAATTTCTTAAAACCCACATTCATTTTTAATGCTAGTTCATTAGAAGCAGTAGACCCCAGGTGAGAAACTGGGTTAGTGTAGTTTGACCTCCTCTGCAATGCAGTCTATAAGACCTGTTTGAAATACTGTTTAAGATATAAATTTTTTTTCCAGGTAAAGCATCAACTCTCTTTGTTACATTGCTCCACTAATTTATTACTTTGCTCCAGGGGATTTGTTACAAACTGGTGCTTTGTTTCTTGTCTATATATTTTCAGTTTCAAATTCCAGCTTTTACCAGTTCTATCTGTAGATTTCAACAGACAGAGGTTTCATCTCAGAAACTGCAACTCTTGGTAGTTTTCTTTCTGCATCCTTTCCTCTCTCTCAGTACTTAGAGTTTATGTCAGTGAGAATTCAAGCTGTGACATGTTCTGTTGCTTTTAGAGACCAATGTTAGCCATAGTTTTAATGTATAAAGATATAGCTTATACTGAAATGCCATTGATGATTTTTTTAAGAAGGCAGTATCTCATTCACTTTAGTAAATATGGGAGAAAAGCAATTGTTAAATGGCATTCCTTACAACCCCCATGCCAGTACTAAAAGTATACTAAAATTTAATTAATGTGTATATAGTCACTTCTCATTGACAATGCCATCAGGGCTTAATACAGCTTCCTAGACATGCCTTTACATTCTGACAATGCTTCAGGGCTACTTTTCCTCCTTTCTTGCCCCTGATTGTATTTTCTCTTTTGCTTGTGGTAGGTGTGCAGTGAGATTTACTGATTGATTTTGTAGAATGGAGCCAGTTTATTAGGAAGCTCTGAGGAAAGTGTGCTAACCCCTTGCCTGGCAGTTTGACATGCTTCTTTCAGGGTAAAAAAAAATTCTATATTGTTGGATGTAATACGAAAACCAACGAGAGACAGTTGTGGAAAACCTGTGCCCTGCTGTTAAGCAGAGGGAGTTCACCCTTGAGAGCTCCTCTGCTGGGACTGTGAAATGTTCTCAGACTAAAAACTATCAGTTTATGAGACCTGGAGCACTGTGCTGCTGCTATTCTTTCTCCTTGCTCTTGTAACAACTGACCCAAGCAGGCAGAGCAGACCGTGTTTGCATTTTTCTATGGGCCCACTGAAGATAGAGCCAAGCCTGGCACTGGGGAAGGATTGCAGCTGTACCAGCAGTGTCATCTGTAGCTCCAAACAACTGGGCATCTGTGAACAGCAAAAAGCTGTAAGGAAAAAAATCTCTTCTGGAGATAAATAGAAAAGAGCTCTCATATTGCATGGGAATTAATTAATGGTGGCATGGACTGATTAGAAGTCTATTTATTACACATTACTCCTTAAAGATGCAATTTTTATAAGTGTGACTTTTATAAATGGACAACGCAGAGGCAACTTAATGAAATGGAAAAGAGCAGCAGTTTATACCAGGAGGTTTGGTCAGACTGCTAGGCCAGTAAAGCTGAATAACCCTGTAACTCACCTCATGGCTCAGGCAAGGCACTCTCAGAGCAGAGCCATCTAATGGTAGTTTTCTCAAGGTGGGAAATATTTTCCTGGATTATAAACCTTGCAAAAGTTGGTTATCCAAAAGCAGGAGTAGAGCAGAGAGAAGTGGCTATTGTAGGTGAAATGAAGGACTGAATTTAATCACCTGATTAAGACAGGTAGTACTGATTTATTATTGCTGGATATAAATGCATCTCCTCCATTTTTTTATCCTCTGTAATGAAATTGACCATGTTTCAAATCCTTTTCTGTCTTGTCTTTTTCTTTTTTTTTTCTCTCAAGCGAACAAAAATAACGTCTTGAGCACAGAAAGTGCAGGGAAAGAATGTTTTTTCTTCATCTTTTACATACAAATGTTTTGGATAGCCTGTAGACACCTGAACTCTGTATTTTTTGTACCATTGCTGAGAAAACTGTTGTCTTAGTTACTTTTATAATATATGGCAATAACTAAAACTTCTCAACATTATAGAAATGCAAAATGGTTTGAGTTTATTGCAAGTATGAAGAAAGTAACGATTTAGTAAATTCACAGACTATCTTGACAATTGTATAACTGTCCTGTTACTGTGATGTTCCTGAGCCACAGTTTTGATGGCATTTACAGCTAGTAAGTGTTTAGTCATCTCTAAGAGTCAGTGGACTTTATTGTTACTTGTACTGTGTTATAAAAGCTCAGCCTCAGTCTGGACACAGCAGAAGCAGAAGTTTTGTTACATGACTGATGAAGAACACAATTTCATTCATTTGGTTTCTACATAATTCTGCAATGAGGGATAACCACAATGTTGTACATGTTCATATAGATGTAATTTATATGAACTGGAACTGTCATTTTTGGCAGTTTTGTTGTCATGTGTGATGCCTGTGAGTTTTATTGGGAAGGACAGCATATTGTGTTTTCAAACTAATAATATAAATTGAGAACTTGTTTTTCATTATTTTCATTGTGTAGATTTCTATACTTGTTTTGGAGGCTCTTGTGAAATCACAAAATAGAAATGATTTAAATATGTATTGTGTATAGTTTTATGAAATGTCATACCTTAATATAATAAAATATTTTAATGTGTTTATTTTTCAACTAGAAACGTCTGAAAGCAGCTGAAGCAGAAAGTAAATTGAAACAAGTATACATCCCCACCTAGTGAGTATAACAACAAAGTAATTTTTTTTGAGTAATATACAGGTAAAATTGAAACAGTAACATGCATGGTATTTTCCTAGTCATCTCCTTAATTGTTACTTTCACAGGATTTGTTATATGCAGAGATATAATCAGAAAATGATTGAAACGCTTGTTTTAAGTGAAACCTTCTTACTTTACTGATCTCTTTGTTTTCGATCTGCAATCTTTTTGTCTGGAATAAGAAGTTTTACAAAGGCTTATCCAGTGCTGCCTGTGGGCTGTTTACATGCAAGAAGAGCCTATTAATTTAAAAATCAGATTTTCCAAAATAATCTCTTCCAAATTCCTGTAGCACAACACTTCATATTTGTGTAAATGCAATATTTCAAAATAGAAATAGTTACATAAAATAAAATCAGATAATTTCCCATTACAGTTTTATCTGGCTGATAAAATCTGTTCTTCATATAGAGACAAGAGATGTTCTGGTTCTAAATTAAAGGTAGCATAGAGCCCCAGACTTTCTATCTATGATCATGTGCTATTAATGCAATCTTGTTTGCTTCTGAGGGATTTTTGATCTATATTTCTTTTGCATTTAAGCTGGATGCTATATCTGCTTCTGTTAACATGTGGTTTGTAGAAAAAAAAGATAAAATCCCTCCTTTATATTCATAATTTCCTGAATATTATGACAAGGAAAGGATTACAAATCACTTTTTTTCTAAGCTTTCTGTGGGTATATTCAATTTACTTATATTTGAACTTCCTGTTGTTGTGAGTGTTTGTATAACAACTAGCTTTTCTCTCTTAAAAAGATGTAACAATGAAAGCAGTAGACTGTTAAATTAATTATTTTAATCTTAGAACAGATTTTTTGAGTTTTGAAGCTCACATCTCTAATAAGTCACACTGTTTAAAAAAAGCTAAAATTGCTAGTATGAGTGTTCCCTAACAGACAGATGCGTGGCTGCTTTAGGAAAACCATAAGGTGCTCAGTCTTTACATTATGCTTTTTTCAATTTAATTTCCTTGGTCCTTGTGGACAGTTATGGATTTTCAATATGTTCACAGTAGGGACCAGCTGTATTGGATGACAAAATGTGATTCAAAATGTGGGATTTTTGTGCTTTTATCTTACTGCCTCCATTTCAAGACAAAATCCCTAGTCAACAGTAGGAGGATGGTAGGACTTCTCAAGTCTTTGCTGTCTGTGGTAGTCATGGGATTGCTAAATGCCCTGCTTCAAGACTGATTTATTGCATTTGAAATCTGAGTAGAATTGATTCTCGAAGCTGAGTACCTTTTTGAACTTGATCATTAGGTTTTTCTTGTAAATGCGAGGTTCTGTCCTTAATACCAGAGAGTCCCTTTCAATTCATGGCTTTTCTGAAAGGTAACTAAGCAACAAATCATAATGTGGAAGACTTAATTGTCTTTCAGTCTCTTCTCCTGTACCTTGAGCCCAGGATAAAGAATATGTGGAAATTGTAAAATTGGCTCTTTCTGATATAGTGAAAAGGAGAAGGTGGGAGACAGACTTGTTGGCATTTGAAATAGAGACTTGAAACAGCAAAGGTTACTCCAGTTGTCATTTTAAATTTTCTTGAATATATTTTATGCTACCTAAAGTGACAAATAATTATCTCAGGAATCAATGTATCCAGCCTTGCATTGTATTGAGGGTAATTAAGATTCACAAAGTGGAAACTCTGGAAATATTGCACTTAATCCAGTGAGGAGTATATTAATGCTCTCAATTAATTAACCTGTTAAGTCCTACTTCACTGAAGTATTAGAAGTTACAATAATTACAAGAATGATATAGTATAATAATAATTAAAAAACCAAACAGAAATATCCAAAAACAATTAGTTACCTTGCTCAGAGAGGAAGTAGTTCAGAAGAAAACTGAGACAGAACAAGCTGATATATGGGTGAGTTTTGCCATGGTTATAAGGCATCTGTATTACTGTGTGTACTTCTTTTTCAGACTGTTTTAGGCTGTTTGACCCTTTCCTGGGATGAACAACCCAGTAGTTTGTAGTATTAGATGTAGATGTGGTCTTACAGGCACTGTTGCTACTCTTGTTATACTTCACACAAAGTCCATCCTCAGCTGGTAAAGCCTTATCTATTGACTAGAACCACCTTCTTAAATTCCATGCTGTCAGACTTTTGTTAATGCTTTGACCCTGAGACTTGGTCTTTTATGAGCTTGCCAAGTAGCTTAGACCATGTGAGCACAATAAAGAGCTGTAAATTGGAGTATCAGAGCAGCTCTTAACATAGCAAGTGTCTGACAATGCTGAAAATAATAGAGGAGTACAAAAATTAGTCTTGTTGTTTAGAGAAGATTATATAGATGTTAGCACACATCAGAATTTCAGAATTAGATTGTCTTCATGTTGACTAACCAGTTAATAAAACCACCTTTTTTTTTTTTTTCAACTTTAAAAAAAATTTATTTAAAGCAATAAACCAAATCCCAATCAAATATCCAGCAACAATGGGAAACCTGCTGCAGTCAACGGAGCAATGGGAGCCTCTTACCAGGCACAAGCCACAGTAATAGGTCGGGCTTGTGAAAGCTGTTATAGTAAGTAAATATATTTTTTAATGTCTCAAGAGTTTGGGTGAATCTTAATATATGTTGTTAAAAAAAAAAATGGTATGTACTTTTGTTAGCATGTGACAGAGGGTAATTTGCAATTACTCTTAGGGAAGAAATAACTTTAAAGTTAGAGCTGCCTTTAATATATTAATTAAAGTATTCAAATTGCTTGATGATTTATTTTTTAACAATTCATAAAGCATAGAAAGTTTAAGTAGCATAATATGATGGCATTGATCTATTCTTTCTTTACCTTCATAAAGCTAGATTCAAATTTATTTTTGGGTTTCCTTTAAGGCTGCAAGGTTTTTGAGCTGCTCTCTTTTCTCTGAATGATTTTGGGGGTGTTTCCCCCCTCTGTTGTTATTGGGGAACGTGGGGAGGACTGTTGTTTATTTCTAGCATTTTGTGCATTTCTGATAATTTTTGTTGGGCTTCTTGAAATAGTAGCCTTTAACAGAGGTTATATGAGAGCAGATAGAAAGTCCAACTTAATAAGCCTTCCAGGGTGAGATTAGAAATAGTGGTTTTTTATTTGGTTTTGTTTTGTTTTTTTTCTCTGGAAGAAAATCTCAGCAATAAAAAGTCTCTGGATTGAAATTTATTATAAAAGCATTTCCAAAATTTCCATTTGGAGCTGACTTCTGTGATGCTTTTGTAAAAAAATAAAGCAACAAACAGTCCAAGTTCGTACTTCTTGTGTCAAATATATTAAATATTAATCCATCCAGTGCTCTGATAAGTTATGGCCATATGTAGTCATTTATTACAGCATTTGGGTTGATGGCAGTGAATGTGGCATGCCCCAGTTCACCTGTGCTGCTTTCTCCTCCGTAGCTCCGCAGTCTCACCAATGGTATTCTTGGGGCCCTCCTAATATGCAATGTAGGTTGTGTGCATCTTGCTGGATTTATTGGAAGAAATATGGTGGCCTGAAAATGCCCACACAGACAGATGAAGATAAACTGTCTTCCAGCCAACCTACAGAGGTAGGATTGCGTAGACAAACTTCTGTAAAACAAAACATGGTGCTTTCACAAGACTGTTGTGATTTGATTATTTAATGGAGTGGTTTTTGTATATGTATTCAACTTTGGTATTACAAAACTCAGTTCATGAATCCTTTTTCTTGTCACTGTAAGGCTAGGGAGCGGCAAAAACCACAATAACATGGGCTTTATTCAGAAAGCAGAAGAAACGATTTATTGCAGGAGTAGACACATTTTTATAGGCTGGTTTGCTGAACCAAAGATAGAATAAGTTTATTGGTTTAAGGAAGGCAACACTTCTTGTAAACATGCTTTTACCAAAATACTATGTTTTTTAATGCACTTTTCCTGTCTATAACACCAGGTGCTAAACTTTATTTTTTTTTCTTCTGTTTTCCTTTGAGTAGCTTGGGAAAACTCAAACTGCTGTTTTCCCTGACTTTTACCAGTATCTACATTTTCTGTGTTAAGTAGAACTGTACAGTGCTCAGACCTTGCCATATCTTTATTTGACTATTCTTGTATAAACAAGCATGTGCTTCCTGCATTTTTGGTGTACAAACGTCATTTTGTCAGTCAAATGGCCTCTGAAACGTTAACTATCCCATTTAGAATGGAGTCGTACACCCGTTCTCAGCAGAGTTTTTTGCTGCGTGGTTTTTAGGCGTGTTGTCGGTGCAGTTCTTTTCTCGTTGGTGTGATCTGGTCCACCTGGGGGCCGTTTGTGTGCAGTGACTGAGCCCCTGTGCTGTGTGCGTTCCCTCCGCAGGAGCCGCCCGTCCGGACTCACCTGTCGCGCCAGGCCACGCAGGGCACCCCGGTGCGGAACACGGGCAGCCCCAAGTCGGCGGTGAAAACTCGGCAGGCGTTCTTCCTCCACACCACGTGCTGGACAAAACTGGCCCGGCAGGTCTGCAAAAACACCCTGCGCCTGCGGCAGGCAGCGCGACGCCCCTTTGTCCCTATTAACTGTGCTGCCATTAAGGCAGAATGTAAGATGTTTTTTTAATTCTTAGTTCTGTGTGCTGTGCTTCCCACCCATTTTTTTGTCTTTTAATTTTATTTTCTTTTTCAATAAACATTTCTTGTCTATACGCTTTTGCTTTTCTTTTTTTTTTTTTCCCTCATTTGTCCAGCATATCACTGACACGTTGGATAAAGTCTGGTTGCCTTGAACAGATCTTAGGCTGTGGAAACATTTCAAATTAATTAAAAAGGGGAGAACTACTACCTCATCCACTTTCAAAAAGTGCCATTAACAAAAATGGGGGGCAGGAAGGGAATATCAGTGCCATGGCATGCATTCTTCCTACTAGGCAGGATGAAAGAAGTGTGCTTTTCTGTTGTTTTTTAATTAATTTCCTGAGCAGAACCTATAGATCTGTACATGTTGTACTTTTATTCAGTGAGGTTGGTCAAAGAATCGGGCGCTGGGGCTTCATAATTTAAATGTGGTGTGCAATACAATCCTTTGTCACTGTGACAATCAGATGTTGGTGATAGCCACGTTTATTATTACATCATAGTTCCATCATTTTGGTTTTCTCTGTTCCAGTTTTAAATTTTAGTTCTAAATAAACTTCTGGATTATGATTGTTCTCTTTATAGCCAAAATATAAATACCTGATGAGTTTCTAGCAGTATGACAAAAGGCTATGAGTTTTTGTAGATAGCGACAGTAAGCCTCTTCACCTGCATTTGTGTGTAAATTCTGCTGCAAAGACACTGAATATTTCAACAGCTTTTGTATCTGCACTGGGCACATTGTTTTACTGTTCACACTGTCTGGCTAAGATTCCCACTCTTCCATAGATACAGTTCTTGGAGCAGATGCTTGGTATTCCAGGATGAGCCATGCTGGCTCATTGCATTGTCTGTCAATTGTATTAGAATTGAAGAGAACTTTTAAGACCATTAGATGTGGTGTTTATAAGCATGTTCACTAGATTAACACTAAACGTTTTCCCAGCACACTTACTTGCAATGCAGATGATGTCTGCATTGTTTATAAGAAATTTACTCCATGGAGGCTTAAAATCTGATTTTGAGTAATTATTTGCCCTTTATGTACTTTATGACCAGCCATTGCACATATGCAAACCCTTCACCTACTTCTGCAGTACACCAGAATTTGTTGAATATTTCTGTTCATTGCCCTTGTCTAATTTTTTAATTGTTCTTTTGGTCATTTTCTTTCTTCTTTTAATACTATGCAAGTCAGGAACAATTTTCAGATTTCAGGAAATCATATGTCGACTGTATGAATAAAATGAGTTGTTCTTCATGGAAGAAGTATGTCTAAGGCTGGATTAGGATTATATTTTTAATCTTCAATCCAAAATTAAAGTTACTTTCTGAGAGGAAGGTATTGTACCTTTAAATTTATGTTTCTGCTGAATCATGGAGGAAAATTTAGGAGTTCACTTGAACCTTATATCTTTTTCTCCGTATGACTGTTTTTTCTCCCTCACTACAGTAAAAAAATTCGAAAGATCAAACTTTTGTTTAAGGAGAAGAAAGAAGAAAAAATTTTCATCCAACTGTTAATCATCATACTAAACACGTGTTCAGCCTTAAAAGAGGAGTGAAAAGTTGAGCTTTTCAGCAGGAAATAGTCATTCTTGCTTCAGACTGGCAGTGCTGTTTCTTTTTGTTTCTTTGAGTGAAAGAATTCTACATCAGATTAATGGCAAGAGTAGAAAGACATTTTTTCCCCTGTAGTGTTGGTCTTCCATTATTATTTTTGCTTAAAGCAAATTTTGCACCTCATGATTTTATCTCCTTGAATTCTGATGCTTCGTGATTAGACCTAAGATAAGTTGAAGAAAAAAGGTCACAATTGTTAATGGTTTTTGAACACAGCATTAAAATAATGTTCTAATGGTGGAAACCAAATTATACCTCAACTAATTTAAGTCATGTTTCTTTGTACACATACACATATCCACAATCCATGTTCTGTTTCTGGCAATCTCTCTCTTTCTGTGGAATCATTACAGTGCTCTCACCTGCATTGTCATTGTCGTATTCTTGCTCTAGTAAAGGTAAAAAAGTAAAGAAAAAAAGTGTTTTGTAGTTTTATTGTAACTAAATAGTCCCTCTTTTCCTGAGAATGCCCTGAATCCTCTTCTAATGGTATCTTGAAGCAAATAATTTTTAGATTTTTAAACAAGATCCTTAATTAGCAGTCATGATGTCCTATACTGGATCCACTGACTATTTACAGTATTGGATAAATATCTGTGTTCGTGTTAGAAATGTTACAGTCATGCTTAACCTGGCCAGAGTACCAGGTCACCCATGATGTGATATGGAATGAGATGGTTACAATGCCCAAGAACTGATTTGGAATTTGTTTTCCATGTTGGTTTGCTGAAACTTCAATCAAATGGCTCCTTAGATGCTTTGTCAGACTCACCTGACTCTATGTGCGCCAAAGCAGTTCTTGAAAATGTCACTGCATTTCCCAACTATATTGCATTAGGCACCATAACAACACTCAGAAACCATAAAATCTGAAGGCAGAAGGATTGCTGGGGCACTTATCCCAGCTGCATACCAGGTTTTATGCCCGTTTAGTCTTGTGCAATTTGTTGGAGTGCCAGGTTGTAAATGAAACTGATTCCCAGCTCTGAGAAAGACTGAACAAGCGTGTCAGAGCTCAGTCATAAAATAAATTGTTATTTGCATTCCACCTGTGTACCTGAATGCATCTGCAGGTACTTCTGGTGTCTTGGAGCGGTATGGAGGCTTCTGGGAATGATAACCAAAGACCCAAGCATCTTTTAGGTGAAAAACAGGTTTTGACAGAGCATTTGCTCTTATTGAATGTCCACTCACATCCTCTCCCTCAGCCCATTATATCCACTGGCAGAAAACAAGGTCCTATTCTGTGTTCTTTATTCCTTCAGATAGTGCAGATAATTAGATTTTCCTCATTAACAAAGCCTGTAGCATGACCCCTGCTCAGATGCCAGCAGGAGGTAGTGGAGATGATGCATTTACATCCCAGTTCAATCTTGGGATGGCCACCAGGAGGTTGAGAAGGCACAGCACCTCCTGCTAGGAGCACAGCCCATCATGGAAAGCTCAAACCTTGTTCTGCCTGAACTTAATAGACTCACTGTGGTTGGTGACAATAAACGTGTCTGATGGTTTTTCAGGAATAATTAGAATTGGGGAACTGCTTTGGTAAGATGAAATTCTTGTGGTCTAAATCTCATGCTCTACCACCTTTTTAATTTGAATGTACTGCATGTTTTTTCAGAAAGTTAAGCAAGACCATCCTGTCTGGGGAAGGTCTCTTAACTAGAAAAAAGCAAAGTGAGCATTCTTCTCAACAGTCCCTGACGAGACTGCATCTGTTTGCAGCTCTCAGGCAGGTTGATAAATGCCTGGCAGTGAGCCATGTGTCTGTAAACATTATTGCACCAGCACAGGGAGATTTTTGAGGGATTTTTTTTTTTTTCATTGCTTGGATATGGCTTTATGACTATAACTATATGTATTAATTATAGTAATTTAGACCTGGATAACCACATCCTGTGCAGACATGATTGTCAAAATGTTTTCAGTGCATGGTAATATGTTATCTGTATAATATATGTATAGTTATCTGGAAATGGATATACTGATCACGATGAAAATTTATCATACTTTTAAATCCTCAGATTTATTAACAAATATGGTGCATAGTACTTGCTAGTGCTCTAGTTTGATGAAACAAAGACATGTGAAAACAGTAGGATATGAAAAATGTTACTGATTTGTCTTTATAAGCATAAAGCTACCCATTCATCTGAATTGAGTAACATTTATGGGTCTTGGTTCACAAACCATGTTTTGCATCCTTGATTTTGATAGCTATGGAAGAGCTTTTAGCTGTTTCAGATGAAAATATTTTTTTCATGAATGAAATTTGTGCCAGATTTTAATAGCCAGCAAAATAATTAACAGAGCATATTATTTTTTCCCAAAGTTTCTAAGAAGAATACAATTGGGGGAATACAGTACATTCATTTAGATGATCTGCATTTTGACAGAGATATGATGGAATGTCAAAGAGAAATAACTTGCTAATGAGTCTCTCTAAGCTTAAGATATCTACAAATATAGTTTTTTAAAAAAGAAAATAATTAGAAAATACTTGTATAGCTAAAAGCACAGCCTCATTTATTATCATCTTCTTGGCATTACTGATTTCATTCACCTCTGTAATGCCCACATCAGTCACCATGCTTGACAGCTTTAAAGCCTCATAAAAATATGTTTCACACTCCGGTTTGCAATGTTATTTCCTAGACTTTTTCTAGTTGTGCTGTATCCTCTTTAGGGTTATGGTGCCTCAAATCATGTGCACTTTGTGCACTTCAAGATAGAGATTTCCCATGATTTTGGAAAGTCATGTTTTCTATTTTGCTATTCTCATGATTTCTAACATTCTGATTTGATTTCTTTTTAGTATTGTCTAGATATTTTTAGACAACTGTTGACGCTGACTCCATGAATACTCTTCTGCTTTGTGATGGTGTAGGAGCCATCATTATATCTATACATTACAGTTATTTTACCCTTTCAGAATTCACTTACATGCATTGCTTGATGCTGCTCCTATCCTTGGCTATCAGTTTTAGCTTTGATTTTGCTCAGAAATTTATCAGGAAATTTTAACTCTCTAATCGCCTCTTTTCCTGCCCTTTCATAGTTGAACAGCACAGATAATTTGGAGATTACATAGACAATTTATTTTAATAAGGTGCTAATTCCTGAAAAAGCCTCCTTTACCCTCTAACAGCTGGACAGCAGAGATCTTTGGTGACACAGTTTGGTAAAAGCTCTCTGAAATGCCAAATTGGATGCAGATCAGCTGTATGTGGACAGGTCATGGTCTCCTCAGAGGATCCTGGCAGTTACTGGTTTATAGGAATGTAAGTAGGAAGAGCCCCTAGAGGTCTCTAATCCCACCTCTTGCATAAGTTTCGTGTGCTCATGGGCCTTTTGGCCAGATGAGCTTTTTGTATCTCCAAGCATGGAGACTGCATGACTTCCCTGGGCACCTGCTCCAGTGTTTGATCAACCTCAGAGCAAATAACCTTATCCTTATATCCAACAATTTCCTGTCTCCCAGCCTGGCTGTTGCCACGGACAGGAGCAGTGTGTGGCAGGAACGCTTCTGTGTTCCTCTCAGAAGGGTCTGGCTCAGTGTCCCTGCTCTGCTGCTGGGAGAGGCTGCAGGGGCCATCCAGGGGCCATCCCTCTGTCCTTCTGGTCTCCAGGCTGCCCAGACCTGTTTCCCCAAGCCCTGAATGTCCTGTGCTCGAACACCCCATCAGCTTGGTGAGCCTCCAGAGCTGGCCCTGCTCCCGTGTGCCTGTGTCTCTTCTGCTGGGGATCCCAGAGCTGGACACGGGCTCTGGCTGTTGTTCCCATGGACCCAGGGGAGAGGTGACCTCCCCCAGAATGCCATCATCCTTCCTGCTGCAAGGACACACCACTGACTAATGAGAACACATTAAACCTGTTTGCCCTTCCAAGGTCTTTGTTGGCTCCCTTGACGTTTCCAAATTTAACCATGTGCCTCTATTAATAATGCAACCTTTTGCCACTCTGCAGACCTACTTACTGAAGAATATTATCACGTCTGCCCTGTTTTTGTTCTCTTGAACCAAGACCATTTAAACATTCATTAAACACCAGCAGCGTGTCTGCTCAGCAGTTTGGACGAATTCCACCTGGTCCTGGTAACCTGGTTTTACTGATTAACCAGTTTGTTTTGAAATATTTCCTGTGGACACTTCAGTGTGACACAGTTCTCATACTTTCTTCATAAAAGTATTTTGGAAGTGAGCTTTTTTAAGTGCTTCTGCAATGACCAGTGATACAAGGAATGTATTCAACTTTTCTGCTGTGCCTTTTTGTTTCTTGTGTATTTTCCTCACACCTTCATAATCGATTGCCACTGACACTGCTTTCTGCTTTTGCTGTGTTTGAAAAATATTTTAAAAAATATGATTCCTTCTTGTTATAAACATATTTTTCCCCATAGCTTCCACTACTTCACTAATCTTACTAAGATTTTTATTGTCCATATAAAAGATCATATTTGATTTTAGGACTTGCTTTAAATTTTGAGCGTTTTGATAACTTCCTACCCGAATTTTATTCTCTGGTTTTACACTTGAGAATGATGCACAATACAACTTCTGTTTTTTTTTCTCTGTGTTCTGCATAAAGATTATAAACTTTATTATACTTTTTATGAGAGCACCTCTTTAAGGATCAAGGTTTGCTGCTGTTAAACATACTTGACTGTTTTAATAGATAGGTGTACTTTGAAATAATCACCTTTGATGAACATGCTTTATCTCAAGCATGAAAATTGTGCTCTCCTTGCAGTATGCATTCCCAGTCGGCGTATAAATACCACTTCATGATTCAATATCTTTTTTTACAGTGAAGGCACATAGATGGAAAATTTTCTTGCTAATTACTTCTTAGGCAATACTTTGCTGTTCTCAAAGTAGCTATAAAGCACTGTATAGCCTCTGCTTATTTTACTGAGGGACTCAGTGGAGACACATCATTCTGCTCCACCACTTAAAATATTTCAGGTGTTTTGCAATATTAAAAATATTCCAGGAACCACGTAACCACGTTTGCGCTTTTTTTTTTTTTTTTTTTTTTTTTTTTTTTTTTTTTTTTTTTTTTCCCTGAGCACAGTATGTTTTGTGATTAAGAAAAAATAATTAAGTACTTCATGTACTCAGCACTAGGGCTCTGGAAGCTTTGAAACCTATTGGTATTTCCAGAATTTTTAGGTAGATTCCTTAATCTATTAAAGTAAGTTGTGCTTTGTCTGCTGCACTGAAAACATCTTCTTGAACATCTGAAATACTTATTGCAGTCATTGCTGTGCATTCGTGATCTTCATGATTTTTGCACAGGTCTAGATTAGAATAGATTAAGGGATTGTAAATTCTTCCACATGGTGCCTTATCCTTATCCTTTTCCTGTTACTGCTTACTCTGTCTCATGTGCTGGAATGAAGCAAACAGGACGAGTTTGGTGAACACGGGGAGGAGCTGTAATTATAATCTATTTATAATGTGTCCCTTCTGTACAATTTGTAGGTAGGTATTTGTGGGAAGTTATTCCATTTGAGAGAACTCCCAATCCATATAATCACTGTGAAGGCAATTTTGTCCAGAACAGAATGCCTGTATTCTAGGGATACTGGAATCTCTATATGAGGTTTTTTTATGTGCTCTTGGAAGACAGATAAGCCAGTCATTCTGAATAATTAAAAAGAAAAAGGAGATGGTCTATTTCCAATCGTCTTGAAATTATTTACTGAAGTCTAGTGCCTTGTGAATTTTTGCCTTAAGTTGACTGACTTCATTGCTCTAAGGCTAAACCTCTTTATGTTAACACTTTGTGCTTGGGACACGTGGATGGAATCTCTACTTGTGTGTTCACAGTAGCAGCAGGAAATTGAAGGCAGTTGCTGCACTGCTTGTTTTCATGTACTTAGCAGAAAGTTACAGTCTTTGAGACCTTTGAGCTCTGCAATACTTGGTTACAACTGACCATTTTGTGGAAAAGTTTACAGTGAAGAGTTGTGTGACAAAAACCAGTTGTCCCAGCATTAAAACCTTAACTCTGTATTGCCCCATTTAGAGACAGAGAAGCTTGTAGAAAACAAAAAATAATTCAATAGAAATCATTTTTAATAGCCAAAATTGCATTTCTTTTAGTAGTCATATTTTCATCTGTGTTTCATTTGCCTGGCTGACTATTTCCAAAAAGACTTTGTAAGCAAGAACTACAATCTAACTGGTGTTAAAATTTACATTAACATTAAAAAAATCATAACATCACTTGCATGAATGAGGACATGTCCTGCCTTTCAATATTCGTGATTAGAAGTACTGATGAAAATAAAGGAGAATCTAAAAGGTGGGCTAAAAGAAAAAAAGACATTTTTTGTTAAAAATGCAAGTCAGAAACTGGTTGGTGTGTCCTAAATCTGTTTGCAATAGTAAAATATTTCAACTGAGTTTTATTCTTTAAAATTCTCAGATGCAGATCGACATTGTGAACTTTCTGGGAATCCTCTGAAGATAAAAAGCACCAGAAAACCACTGTCATGTATCATTGGGTATTTAGGTGCGTATCTGCCTCGGGAGAATAACAAACCAAACAAACATGCAGTGTGTACTGAAGCTTCATAACCTGGTATGCACAGAAAGAGAGATTGATGCTCTTAGAAACAAGAAAAAATTCTGAAGTTAATAAATTAATAATAATGGTGGTCCACCATGAGTTGCAAAACTGCATGGGTGAACTTGCAGGATATAGGCAGAAGTCCTCCTGATACTGGTTTAAAGTGTCCGAGTGAAACCTGATGTAATTTAGAATGTGAAAAATAGTCTGGCTGTCTAAATAAAAAGAATAACTGCTCAAAGAGGAGATGCTCAGCATGCTCAGGGCTGCTCTACTGTGCCCTTTGTATCCATTTGCAGTACTACTTTTTACTTAAAAGCAGGGGACCTCAGCCACACTAAGACACATATTGATGACCTAAGTTTAAAAGGTGCAATGAAATGCGTACTGAGTTCACAACCAAGAGGACAATGAACCTATAAGTTAATGGGGAGAAGAAAAATTCTAGTTATTGTGATTCCTTGCCAGGAACCATAAGTGACTATTAAATATTTGCACAGTCATATAAGCATTGTGGTAACCCAGAGTCTGTTAATCCTCAAATGAATATAGAAATCAATCCATTGATCAGGAAAGCAGTGAATAATTCTGCTGTGTATTAATCCTGTTCTACAGAAGTGAACTCTACAGCTGAGTTTAGAGCTCAGTTAGATGTTTTGCTCATAACTTCAGTCATCAGGAGGTTGTTTTTGTACTAGATCATAGTGACCAGTAAGTCTCTTGCCTTACTGAAATAGAAATCGGCTATTAATGTAGTTACAACTGTTCTTCCAGGACATCAATTTTGTCAAAATACTAACTTCAAGAATGTGGCTAATGAGGAATTAATGCCATTCTCACTGAATTTTGATTCCTCCTGCCCTGGAGTTTAAGAAAAAAGCCATGGGTCGTTTCTTACAGACATCCCAGCTGTGTGTGCTATGGGTGTTGAAAGGACTCCTTTGGCTGACTTGGTGGAGTTGTGGTTGTGAGTGGGGAAACTGGACAGGAGATGACATCCAGACATCCAGCTGACCTGTCTGTGCATCTAAAGAGGAAATGGTAGCATGGGTGAACTTAGAAGACACCACATGTTTTTAGTGCCATGTTATGTAGCCTTTGAAGAGTTGTCTTGACCCCTCTGGGATTCTAAGTCTGTAGGCTTAATGTGAAGTAAATGGATGAGCAGTGTCAGACAGCATTTTGTGAATTTCCATGATGGTCTGGTAGAAGATGAACAGTGCTAAAATATGCCAAGTATCTGTAGAGTCTGCTTAGTATTTGACTGTATGGGAAGTAAAGGTATCTCATTACAGATGAGGAAAATAATGTGTATTACAGGGATGTGAAGTGAACCCAGCGCAGTTGAATACTTTAATCTGAATTTGCTTTATAGGGATGGCTAGAAAATGGCTTTTTGTTTGCCATGTAGCTTGGTGGAATTTTTTTAGTTTAGTTTATTTGTGTTATTTTTTGTTTATTTGGGATTTTTGCAGTTTCAGTAAATAAGTAAATCTTGCTTTATTTTTCTCATAAAAATAGCATTATATATTATGTCAGAACTTGTATAGGAGCATTTGTTTTCTTTTTAGGATTCATTCTGGGCCATTCTCACAGATATTTATTGGCATACAATTAACAGTGTGTCAAGGCACTACTGTTTTCAACCTTTCTGGTAAGGCAGGGAGAATTTCAGTGCCCTGCACATCCTGGGTCATCACTTCTCTTTATCCTTGTTCTGCATCTTGGCTGCAGGTGAGGTAGGACAAGCATTAAAATTAGGCCTCGTCCTCTGAAGAGCTGAGGCTAATGCCCTGCAATCTCATCAATGATCACTGTACTCCCTAAAACTGCTACAGTGAACCCATGGCTAATTAGGTGTCCTATATTACCTCTTAGTTATGAGGAAACCAGGCTAACACTCCAGCTGGGATACATGTTGAGGAGATGAGGTGACAGAAAGGTGCAGCTAAGCCCCTCTGAAATCCAGGATGTTCATTGAAGTGATTCAGTAGAAGACTTCAGCTTCTCTTTGTTTACTTTGGGTTTTTTATTTTTTTTACCCTACTGGCATAGTGGAGAATGGAGAAGTTTTTAATGTTGTTATTTACTTGCTTGAGGCTGAAATCTGGTCTTATCAAATGCTTTCCTAATATGTTTTTGAAACATTCTCTCTTACTCCTATTTTATTTTTATTTCAGAATGTGGCTCACTGGTTATTTTTTCTGTGGGTAATGGGATAATTTGAATGCTATAGTCAGTTCTCTGAGTTAGAACAAGGTGCAGGTGGCTAGGAGATTTTCAGTGAAGTGCTAGGCAATAGAACAAGGATAAGAGCAGCAGTAATTAAAATATTTTAATGACTATTATTCCATAATACAATTACATGAAGGGATAATAGGCAAAACCCCTGAAATGCCTCATTACACCACTTGTAATGAGGCAGCTGGTTATAAAGTGCTGCTCTAAAGCATAAAAATATTTGAAGCAAGTCTATATGTAGAAGAGGAATGAAGTAAGATGTAAAGGTCTGCACAGGAAGGACTCAGTCCATTGGGAAGTGGTCCTGGTTGTTTAACTGAGTTCCTTTCTAGAACTTAAATGTAGAGCTTGGTCTTGCCACCTTCCTCTACTGCAGAAAGAGAAAAGACAGCCTTTGTGGTAAACTCATGGAGGATTAGTGACTTCTGAACTGAAACAAGTCGAAAGAAGGAAATGCTTCCTTCCTCAACTGCTCACCCTGAAAATATAAAATTGCCTTTCCCATAGGTTGCAGATGAAAGGAGATGGAGTTCTCACGTGTTGATGCAACTGCTGGGATTATTGTGGTTGCTGCTGGAGCTCTTTGGCAAATAAAATAATATATTAGTGTTGTTAGCCCTGGAAATCTACCATTTCCTTCAGAAAATTGGAAAAGATTGCTAAATGAACATTTTAGAATGCAAATTCCAATTACCTTCAGCAAACAGTGCAAGTGTTTCTATTTCAGTTTAGAATTTTGCCTTAGCAATCAGTGGTGTTGATAACATTAAGCATGCCTCTGCTCCCATTTTAGTAAAAAAGCAAAATATGAGATGCTTGTTCCCTACAGCCAGAAAAACGGGACATGCCATGAAATCTTTTCTGTATGAGAAGCAGATGAATACTGCAGTGAATGGCTGTAAAAAGCTCTCATCTAATTAAGTGGTGGGAAATTTGATGGCGTCAAATCTACAGCTCTGCCCTGAAGTGACTGATTACCTGTGCCTTCCCTCTCTGCTGTTCTAACACTTGCCTGTGCATTTCTCTGCCCTACTATTTCCTACCTGGCCTTCTGGAAGCTTCTCATGGGAGAGTGTTCATGCTTGGAGAGTGTGATTGCAAGCCCCAACCAAACCAGTGGTGAAGAATTAGGGAAAGTTTTTCCAGTATAAAAATTGTTGGCATTGTCTCCTCCTGGCACGGAGTTCCAGTACAGCCTGGCCGAGGCCATGAGACTGAGAGCTCCAGGCAGGGCAGGCAGGCTCTTGGATGTCAGACTTTGGGCATTCCCGAAGGAGGAAAAACATTGCAGTGGGCTTTGACTTTATGCAGTGGTTTCTCTTTCTCCTGAATGATAGCCATGGATGGCAGAGGCTGGAGAGGCTCCTCCTTGGATACCTGGTCTCACTGTGGATTTTGCATCTTCTCAGTTTCTGTGCTCCATTTTATAAATAAGCACTTTTCAGGAGGTATGTTTATACCTGAGCTGCAAATGAGAAAGTATTTAATTTTTGTGTTCTGATCTCACTTGCCTTGGGCAGCTGACTCTGCTGTTGTGACTCCCAGCCCCTCTGCCCTCACCTTCTCAGCCTCTTCTGCTGCCTGGGGTCATCACAGGGGCTGGGAGTCCTCATCACCTGCACACTGCTGGCAGCTGGTGCCCTGTGCCTGTGTCACAGGGACCTGCCCTCGGGCAGCTGGCTCCACCCAAGGCTGGACACAGTGGTGGCATTTTGAACCCGGATGTGTGATGGGAATTAGTTAATTGGTTCAGCATATTCCTAGTGAGGGACCAGCAGGCTCAGCCAAGGCTTCCTTTTGCCACTTTTATCTGGCAGATAACTGAGAAATTTCCATGCAGCTGTGTCAGCTTCTGGCAAACACAGCAGATAACACCTAAAATGTGCTTTGCTGCCTCTTGTCCTCTTTATTCCTCCTTCTCCAAAATAATCTTACTCCATGAAGCATATTAGATACTCTGGGATGTTTGAAGCTGCCCAGCAATGATGCTGTATGGAAGTGTTCCCACTGCGGTTTTGGGGTAGTTGTAGCTGCACAGCCCTACAGTATCTGACCCCCCTGACTCCTGCACCCTTGTGACTTGTGTGTGGGAAGATCCCTTAAAGCTTGTTACTGTGACAGAAAATACTGAATAGCTTGAGGTATTGAGGTGGTTTCACTACAGTAAATTCCTTTTATTTGCTTGCTAAAACCTGTGGGTGTGTAGCTTCAATAGAAACCTCAAAAGGGTAAGAAAATATAAACACACCCATTTCAGACTCTTTTGTATTTATTAGCTCTTCAACCTCAAACTCTTAAATTTCTGCACTGTGGAATTGAACTTGAGTAATCTAAAGTGAAATAGATCTTTGTTACTTGGAGAGCCTGTGGGGGTATGAGGACTCACATTGTTCAAGGTCCTGTAAACACATAAGTGCAGAAGGAACTTTCTTTTCATTAAAAGCCAAAAGTAAATTTTGCATGTGTAATAGATTGTTTTATGCACATTTCACATGTGTAATAGATTGTTTTATTTGTTTTAAAATCAGGTAGATATAATTTCTCTCTCTCTTTTGTCTCAAACAGAGATACATCCTGCCGTGAAACCCAATGTAATCAGGTCAACACCAAGCCTTCAAAGTCCAAGTGCAAAACGACTGCTTGCACCCTCCAATCACTCTTCATTAAGTATTTTGGGGAAAAGAAACTATAGCCATCATAATGGTCTTGATGGTATGTGAAGGAATATAAATGAAATTCTTTAATTCTCTGAATTGCAAAACTTTCTGTGATCCTGAGGTAACATTAAATGAGAGTTAGAAAAATGTAAGATATGGATGGTATGTTTATAGCAGCAGTGCAATGAATGGTGGTGCTTATTCATTGGATAAGGATATATTAATGCCTTCTCTTACAAAAAATCAATTTGCCATTTTCCTTACTGATTTTGATTAACCAAAAAAGGACAAGAAAACAATAAAACCAATTTGGTGAAGGCAGAGATGCAGCATGTTCTAGTTTGGATTTTTGCATTGCACCTTAGAAAGCCACTGTCTCTGCAGAGGAGGAAGCAAAAGGTGTATCATAGAGGTGCAGGAGAGACTTTTCCTGTACACTGTGTAGTATCAGAGGTGATGTATAGGCCTGGTGTATCCAGCCACTTCATTACACCTTGGTGCGAACTGAGAGCAGGAATGAAGCTGTGAAAGAAAGACCGAAAAAAAAAAACCCAAAAGAAAATCAGACCCAAAAAAAAGGGTGGAAATTTGTGAATAAGACTAACTTTTCTCAAATAATCTTTTTCTTTTCATCCTGAAAAGTGACTGTGCATTATTGATGATTTTTTTTGTCTTTACCAAACAAAGATTTTTCAACTCTAACTGTAAACAGTCTTACCTTGTCCATATAAGAGGAGAATCCAGCAGGATATAATCTAAATAATGTTTGCACTAAAAGAAAATGTACGCATGCATTCCTATATCTCTTTGTGAGATATAATTTCTGTAAGCCATTATCTTATTTGTTCTGTGATTGAATAAGGTTATTGAGGGTAGAAATCTGTCAGATGCTGGGCTCTCAAATAGACTGTTCAGGAGATGATGTTCACAAAAGAGGTGCCTGTCTGCTTTCATGCTTCACAGAATAGGTCAAGGTAGGAAGGACAGGAATTGCCTTTCAGACAAGCTCACAGAAATAGTATTCCAAATAAAGGGAGAAAAACTTGTTTCATTATCCATCATCTTTCCCATAATCATGTTTTTCTGTCATTGCAAACACTGCTTGTATACTGCAGTGAAAACACCTACTGTACATTTAATAACACCTACATAGGAATTATGACATCCTTTGACAAGAAGTAGTTATTGAGAATACACAGAAGAGAAGATTGCTTGCATTTCTGCTCAGCATGCAGCTGTTACACCACAGACAAACAACATTCATGGCAGCACAGGCTCTTTGGGGGACCAAGGTGGCACCATGTGACTTCCAGCTGGAAGATAATATGATATCTGCATTAGTAGGCAGAGCCATAAATGCTGACTTTCCACTGCAACCTTTGAAGGTGGAGTTCTGCATGGATGGTTTAGTAGTTGCTGCATGAGAATGTGAACCAAGGCCTCCCCCTCCACCAGAACTGTTAAATCCCTCCAGGCACAATGACTCAACCACCTCCCTGGGCAGCCTGTTCCAGTGCTCCACAAGGCTTTCAGTGAAGTAGTTTTCCCTAATATCCAACCTAAACGTTCCCTGGCATCACTTGAAGCTGTTTCCTCTTGTCCTATCACTTCTTATCTGTGAAAAGAAACTGACCCCCATCTTGCTGCAGCCTGTACATTTCTCCAGCAGAGAAGGCTGCAGCAGTAAATTCAAGGTAATTATTTTGATTAAGCCCCTCCTTATGCCTCTGTAAGGACGCATGCTTGGAAGTCTTTAACATTTTTTTCTACTTAGTATGAATGTTCTCCTCAAAGTAAAGAGTGTGTAAAACCAGTCATTAGCTGCACTAATTAGTGTGTATCAGTCAGCTGTGTTAGGGCAATTTGCACAAAATAACATCTAATTTGAAAAATTAGTATTGAGAACTGCAAGTCATTGCTTAAGGAGATATTTCTGCTTATCTCTTTTCTGTGAAAACAACGTACTGGAAAGCTGATATCCTAAATAAGTGAAATCTGCTTTTTGGGTTTTTTTAAGTGCAAAAATTGCAATCTTACTATTAAAAATGGCTATTTTGGTTATTATTCTTGCCACTCTCTTTAATTAAAATGTGAAAAAGTGTAAATAAAATGCAATGAAAAAGTAACAAACCAGTAGTAATGATATTCAACAGCACAGATTCTATTTCTTCTGATTTAAAAGTGGTTGCCTTCAATATTTACCATTTACCTCCTCCTCAGGTTATTGGTAAATATAAAATATATTTTTTTCTCTTGTGTTTTATCCAGCTTCTCTTCAGTACCAGATCAGCTTGGGAAGTGGTGGTTTCTGTGTCACTTTCCTGACCACAATGTACTATTTGTGCAGTGAAAGGTTTTGCCAGCCCCCAGAGTTTTTGTGTTACTATAAATACACTAAAAAGCTTTTTCGGTTCCAAAATACTATTGATTGCTGCAGGTTTGATTGTGTTGTTTCAATTAACAGTATCCAGAAAGCCTGGTGTGGAGATGATGACAGATTCTGCCTTTCAGTGCATGTTTTGGTGAAATGAGCAAGCAAAAATGAGCACGGGGGACTTGTATTAAATCTCATTTGCTATTTTCATAATCTTAATATTATTGACATGGAAATGTCTGCATTTTCAAGTTTATTTTTTTTCCAACAGTATTAGATATTTGTTGTGAGAAAGCCACAGAAATATGTTTACTTAAAATATACAATATTTCACAGCATTCAAATGAATGTTGCTTAGGCTTGTGCAAATATATATTTAGATTATCATAATTTCAGTCAATCTTACTGCCTAGATGAGTGCCTTATTTTGGCAGAATTTCTTTTTAAGCAAATTAATAATTATTTGCTTTGAATATAACAGTACATTATGGAAATGGCACTTTTTTATACCTCTTTGGGGAAGTGGGGGAAGATTATGAGAAACATCATTAATATTTAGTTAAATGCTTTTAAGAGTAATAAACAAGAATATGATTAGCATTTCTTATACAAGTTCTACATTGGCTTAAGTTTGGCTCTTAGCCAATGGAGCAAATGATTCCCTTTCAGTTTTCCATGGATGCACCTCCAGAAAGGGTCTGGTGCAATTGGTAAGGGTGAGGGAATTTGGGTTTTTTGACTGATTTTACTTGATCATTGTTGAGTATGATAAGGGAGCTCATTTATCTTTTCTTGATGGGGATGTTGTGCCCTGACATCTCGTTTTTGTCAGTCATGGACATGAGTGAAATTGCTCTGTGTATTGTAGGTAGAGAGAGAGGATCTGGTAGGGTTTTGTGTCCCTTATTGGGAGGAAGACTTTTGCAGGATGATCTTAGGAAAGTGTTTTTCATTTTGCTTTCAAACAACAGCAAATCTTGCATTCTATAAGATGTAATCAAAAATGTCAGTGAAGTGGCATCTTGCTGTTCTGGAAAAGTCACAGTACTTTGAGAAGTTTTTGTGTAATATACATTCTGGAGCTTTTAACTACTCTGAGATGCAGCATTTCAAATGCTGCTGAAATTAAAGGCAGCAGAAGATATTTAAGTGGTTCTCTGCTGTGACGGTAGCCCCTTTCAAGTGGGAAAATTCCATCTTCAGAAAATCACGATGTTGCAGAAGGTTACATGTATCCAATTTTGTTACTGGAGTTGATGATGGGAAGATTTAGGTGTGACTGTAAAGTGCTTTAGATATTTTGAATCTGATCTTTAAATTACCGTGTCTGAAATTATTCCAAGCAATTACTTTCTCCTACAAGCTGCTTAACTTTAGTGTGTCCAAGTAGTCAAATTTCACACCAGCCTATTGTTTTGGCAGGATGAGTAAGGCTACTTTTGCTTACAGTATTTGGAAACATCAGGTAGAGGTATTTTACACAAGAATAGTCTCTGTCATCTGACATACATTTCCTTACCTTTCATGCATGAGAACCAGAATATCCACAGGATTTCCAAGTCATCTGCATCACTAATGAGGTACAGAAATCTCTCTGTGCCTCTTGATGCCATTTTCACCTTGTGGACAAAAATACAAGAACCAATTTTCATAACTGAAGGGACTCGAATCAACAGCCCTGATCCTCCTCCTCTCTTCCCTGCCATGCCTTCAGTGCTGTGTTTCAGTCTGAGATGTCCTGCTGCCTTCAAGAGGATTCTTTCAAGTCAAATTTCTCTTCTGGAATACACTGCAGTGTGCAGCAGATACATGAATTATCTAGGAATGAGGCAACAATTTGGGGTCTGTTTTCCCAGGAATCCACGCATCTCTGGCCTGGCAGGGTGAGAAGGTGACATGAGAAACCAGCAAATGGAGAGAGACCTCAAAAAAATGTACTTTCTCTCTTAGATAATGTCTTCTCTCTATGCTTATGACTGATATTATTGGCTATTCAGGAGAGGAGCAAGGTAGAAAGGTTTAGTTTCACTTCTATTTTTCCATGGGGAATTTCTGACAAATGGATGAAAACATAAGCAGCCTGACTGACACTCAGGGAGACTAAAACCATTCCTGTCCCAAATTTTCTTGAAACAGAGAAAATAATTATAATACACGCTTCATTATAATTAAGCTCACATAACACTGTATGAAAGCACATTAAAGGGAAGGAGATTTTGCTCTCCAGTGGAATTTTTCAGCAGCGAGTGAGTTGTTTTATCTCAAAGGTGTCTGATGTTATCACAATTCTATGTTTTGGTAGAGACAAAGATGTTCTGCTATGGTGGCAGAGGAGCAGCATGGATTGCACATCAAAAAACATTTGGTGCTCTGTAACCTTAAAAAAGAAAACCCTAAATTTTCTCTTACACATTAATAAACTATAAACCTACCAAATTTGTTATAAACATCGTTTAACATACCAGAGATTTCCAACTGAAAGAGAAGAAATGAGTTGTGGCAAACAAGCTGCTATGTGAAATTTTGCCATTTCTTCCATGCTAAAGCACAAGGTATGATTAATGCTGGATTGTGTATACTCACTGTTCCCAAAAGTGAGAGACAAAAGCTATATATTGCTCCACAGTCAGTTCTCCCTCTGAAGTTTGCTTAGGACGTGCATGTTCTAGCTTTGGTCTTTG